GTATAAAAACGTACAAAATGTAACAAACCGAAAAATACTAATTATACCATGTTATGAGGCCCTTCTTCTAGAGCTTGTACCTCTGATCTGTCTTCGACCACTTGACAAAATATAAACAAGTCAGATGCCTTAGAATCTAGTATTGTGAATATTTTATTCCATCATCATAGTCGGAGGTCTTGATAACAAAAAAAATGAGATATTAATTTATAATATCCAATACAATGAAAATATTCTACCTAGGCATAAAAGATTTTTAAAGGCTGAAATAGATTAGTTACATATGTTTTCATCAAGGATGATGCTGTTTATACTCGGCTTTCAGCATTGGTGTTGGAAAATGACGTGTTTGAAATTTGTACAATGAAAGGGAACCCATTTAAATCCTCTGTATTCCTCGCCAAAAGATTCAGCTAGGTTGAACGTGGCCATGTATTTTCAAGCTATCAATATTAAAGAGTAGAGGATGGAAGCAAACCTCCACGGCAGAGGTGGGGTCATGTCCTGAGACCACAATGTAGAAAAAAATGTACGTCACTCTGGACATATTACGACGCCGCTTTGATGAAAAATTTTACTTATCGTTAACTGAAACATGTGCAATGAAATTTTACTTATCGTTAACTGAAACATGTGGAAACATTCAAAATATATATTTGGGGGCAAAATATTTATATTCTGTCGAAATACAAATTTTGAAATACTTATGCAACAAGTAATGCCGCGAAGGCAAAAAATTGATGAATTTAAAATATTACGTTCAAGAAATATTTGTTTCCACACACAGCATACCATCGTTGTTATGATGAAACGTGCTATGTAACAATTTTTCCACATCGGAACTTTCTGAATATCTATATAGTCAAACATGAGCTCAGTGATCTGACGTACAAAAAGAAACTCTAGTAATTCTGTGAGATTTACTAGAAATCGTGTTGAATGGAAGCGAAACCAATTTTTTAAATTTAAAAGAGTCTTTATGTCATTCTGTAAAAACTGCTTCTAAAGACAAAGGGGTTTTCGACGATTAAATATTAATACTATCCTCAGATCTCCTTACTCTTAAACTGAAAAAAGTCCCCTCTATTTTCGATGAAACGTGCCGTTATAGATTTTTTAAATGATGCAGATGGCGCTTGTATAACTACTGACAATTAATAATAAGCATGAAACAACGATGTATGAGGTTGGCCATGGTAACAGAGATGAAAACCAAACAGATTGCGTTCATTAGTCTGATATTTTTTCAAATTATAAAATGCTTGTAAGCAGCTTGTAACCGCATTTCGGTGTAAAGCAGATTAAAATTAATCGATCAAGATTTAAAGCCATGAGAGTGTTTGGTCCTTATATTGTAGCTTCAAGAACACTTTTCCTAATTCTGTGACAAGAACTTAATCAGTAAAGATGTATCTAAAAAAAGCGCTATGTTCATCATTTGTACAAATTTAATCATATGAAGGTCATTATTAATGTCTCCTCTGTTTGCATAACTGACTAAAACTAGTCACGAAAATAGGTTGACTCACCAAAAGTTTCTTGTAAATCATCTTGCACTAAATATTAGAGTTAATGTGAAAATTGAACGTTCATAACAGACCAAAAAATCAACGAAACACACAATGTTCTCGTGATACAGCTTCCCGACGAACTGAATCAACGTGATGGTCTTGTTATTCAGGCAATGTCTTATCTTTATTTTTCATTATTAATATTAGAGCAATAAGAATGCCGCCGTATTTTGAATTTAATTAATTTAGCAAGTATTATGGTTGAGTTCAGTGGATATTACTGTAGTCTAGGAGACGATGTAATTATTTCCACAAAAGTGGGACACACACAGGAGCCTCACAAAAAAGAAACAAAAAAGTCGTCACATCAAGAAGCACTTTCCTACCGGGAGCGAACATTAATGTGAAAAATATCTGCAATACAGTTATACAGGCAGCATCGTGTCAGATCCCGCCAACTTACCGCGAAAATTCCAAAACATGGGGTAAAAAATCCAAGAGGTAAATCTCGCTCAAAATTTTGACTTTTGCTGAGATTTGTTTAGTTTTGTGACTTTTGTTATTTTACTATCCGCGTCACACTAGCGAAGAAGTAATGACGAAACATTTAGAAAATGAGATATTGTGTTTTTTTTTATATGATACATCACGAATAACCGTTTTTTGACGTTTTTGAGGATCGTGACCATTTTCGAGTAATTTTTTTAGCGGTTGAAAATCGGGATTGTAGAGGGCTATTAATGCTGCATAGTATCCGTGACTGACGTTCTATTACTGAGAATATTCTTATCGCGGTAGTAACTGGAAATTTAAATGACAAAAATCCGACAAATAATGTGCACACAATTTGAAATAATGAAGGCAAGATCATTGGCACAGCAGCAGAAGGCAAACAGTACCTGCTGTACCTGATCCAAGAGACTACTGTTTCTATGAAGTAATAAACTGTTTATAATAGGGTATTCTTTGCCTGTTAGGAACAGGTATCACTTGCGAAACAGAATTGAGCGTGAAACTAAAATAGTCGACAGGGCTATGTTATAGTGAGTGATAATTTATATCTACCATATGTTACATGTCCTGAATTTTTGGGCCACGATATGAGCAGGTACATTCATACATCTTTCAATAGATAATATCATGACTCTGACAGCCTTAGACAGGCTAATAACAAGAAGAGGATGTCGCCAGGTAGATCGACTCAGTACCTCACACACATTCATACAGTGAATTGCTTAAATAGACTTCCTGAATGTGCATCATAAGTTTTTGAAAACCCCAAAATGTACACTTTCATTATGCACAAACTTGCCATAACTTGAGAAACATCCAAAAGCAAAGGTTGTTTTCTGCTCGTTACTCCTCTGTCAATGAAGTAGAATTAGCTTATTGTATACTGCTCCCCAAATTTGATTAAAACAAGTACAAGGGCTTGTGACAATACATGGTTACAGGAATGCTGGCAGGTAGATCCAGAATGACACAAGTCATCGTTGGTTGTAAGAGCGGTCAGTGGGACCTTAGCTCTTGAGTCACAGTGTCAGTTTGTAAGTCTGTCAGGTCTGGAGCCCAGAAACCAGACAATTTTAAGGAAAATCCAGGATGACAAAGCCATGGAAATGAATGACATTAATTTGAGATATTTTTGAACGAAAACTGTGCAGAAGAAGAAAAATTGCTGAAACATTGTATTTCGACATTTCAGATATCCCTACTTGTGTTCAGAAATTTTATGGGGTGATTGAAAATTGGGGTTTGGAGATGTATGGGGTGGGTGGTTGTAAATGCGGTATTTTTTAAATCAGGGAAAGATATACTGTTATTAAAAAAGCACATATTTTCCATACATCTACCATTGAAACAGAAATATAATAGATTTATTTTATATAGTTTGAGATGTACAGGTTCAGGATACATCATATCCAAGTGAAGATACCTCCAAATTTCACCTTGAAATTTGCGAATTTGAATGATGGTGTGGAAGTATAGAGTAACTTGATGCCATTCTTTTGTGTTCATAAGAAAGATAAAACGCCAAATAAGAAATGTGACAATGTGGTTTCAGGTCAAACAGCTACAATAGCTGCTCCGTATACCTACAGTTTTAAAAATAAACATGGAGTATAGTAACACCTTATATAAAATAAGCTACACAAATACTGTAAACACACTAGCATACTGGAGAAGGCAACTACATTTACTCAAGTGACTTATTCTGACAAAAATATGATGATGACTATTTTTTGATGGTGCATTAATTTTTTTAGACTTATTACAAAGGTGTGAAAAAAGTATATGTGGTAAGGCTTTTCCAATCACATCTGCAATTATTTGATTTAAACTTCACCCAGCTGGGTAATATCATACAGAATATCTCCATTGCTTGACATTTTCTGTTAGATGAATGCAAATCAATGATTTTTGGTAGATAGTAAACGTCACTATGCCACTATATTCTGTATTGCTAATTTTATATCTATCAAAATATAAACAAAAAGCTTCATAAAGACCTTCAAAGTGCTAAATAGTCTTAGAATAGTCCAGGTAATATACCTATTAATTGTTGCCATATATCTGTGTACGATGGCATAAACATCAGGAATCCAGTAATACTATAAATAAATAGTATAAATGAATCAATATTACTGATACAAGTTAGTTTGAATGAGTGTTCATCAATATGTTATTTTACAGGGATGAAATTTCAACATATTGTTTATTAATTTTTGAGAGGTTCCATACAATTCTAATATTTTAAAATAAAATAAAATTTTGTATTAAGGTATTTCATCTTTATTATACCTAAAGAAAATTATAGTCTTCAGGCAATTCAGATGAAGAGTTTCATAATCACGGAAATAGACCTATTAAATGGGTGTTTGAAAAAAATTAGTATATCAGTCATTCATAAAATACACGAGCAATTTACTCTGAAAACACTCGTCATAACGATATTTGTAAAATGATATAAAAGCAATTACATTGTTAATTACTTGCTTGCTAATCTATGGAATATTTTGTTGATCTTTATTTACTTAAAACTGAAGCATGAAATATGAAAAGAGAAAATACGTAACGAACAAGAAAAGATTTGAATCATGCGTTAGTATACAATTCAACCGTATAATTAATTTATAATTACCAAAATTTACAGTTTGAACTAATAACTTACCCACCTGCTCTTGACAAAAAGCTTTGGGAAGAAGGTCTACTTTGTCCATTCCCACTTTAAAGTCCAAAATCACAACTAATTACTTTTCTAGTAGATAATATACTTCAAAAATTGTAAAACCGATCAAAAATTACAAAATTGTAATGCTATTTCATTTCAATTTATAAAAGCACACGCTGCATAGGCGGGTGGCTGTGACGTGACAAATGACGCTAATCATCGTCAAGGTCACGCCCAAGCCATCTCTCGGTAGAAATCAAAACTATTCTTAATCTACCGCTACCTGTTTGCGCAGCTGTGAACTACTGTTGAAGTCAGTTGAGGTAATTGAAAACCAAGATAAATTTTTCTGCAGCGGAGAAGAAAATATATAAGAAAAAACGATATTAGTTGAATTTGGCGCTGGAAAGAATTTTAGGATCTCGTTAGGATGTGGAAAACCTACATAGTCAGAAAAAACCTACATAATATCAAAAAACCGACCTAAAGCCGCAGTTCAAGTTACGTAATACCCCTCCCGAGGCCGAACAAGGGGCAAATGATATTTTGTGGGCAGAGGTCTAGGGTCCACACTGAAAACCAAATATCATTAACGTCGTAATGTGTGCGAGAGAGGAGCGCGAGAAGCGTGCAATACATATGTTAGAGAGAGATAGAAGCACCTTGTTGCCTAGCGACCCCAGTACGAGGTCACGGATGCCATCGGCCGACTCTTTCTAACATACATATTGCACGCTTCTCTGTCGTACACATTACGACGTCAGTCAAATTTGAACCTCACCGTATGTGTATATATTATATTTTGTGGTGGGCTCTTAGGCTCGTCTAAGGGTGGGCTCCTATCACCTGTCATTTGTAGGTGACAAGTGGAAAGTGGAAGGAGTAGCGGGAACATGAAGACAGCTCTTCATGGACAATAAATAAAAAAAACTGGGGAAAGAGACAGGTCAATAATGTAATCAAAGCTAATTGTTTAACGAAAATATGACAGCTAGGAAAATATAATGCATTCTTGAGACCTCGGTGGTCTGTGGTGTTGTGGTGTAGCCGAGGTTTTCTATGCTCACCTCAATAAAATGTTTTGCACATGTTTTGTGCTATAGAGGATTCACCCATTCACCGACGGGATAAAATCCAATAGTAGAAGGGTTTATCTCTGTCCAATAGTGTAACGGGCCATCATGTGGTAATTACTTGAACTAACTGAAGATATCTGATTGGTGGAACGTCAGGGATTTATTGAACGAACAAGAAGCATAACCTTATTTTTTTGAGGATCAATTTTTCAAGAAACTTGCTGAAAGTAAACGTGTTAAATCATTGGAATGCATAATTCAAAGAGCAGCTTGGTCCTTTTGAATGATTCTTAATATTCATATGCGAGTTTAAGAAGGCTCCCACCATGAAAACAAGTAAGTATGATATTCGATGTACGACAAAACGTAGTCGAACCAGATTCAAGGGTCACAATTTTGAATTTTATTTTGTTCATGTATTTATTATCAAGATGCATAATTTTACATACTTCAGCTTCATTTTTGAGAAAAATGATACAGGCTGACTTCAGTTTTACCATAAGTGGAGCACCTTATTAGCTATACTCATTACGGTTGTTGGGAACACTTTAAATGTAGTTCCTATGCTTAACAAAGTATCCTGTGTAGCCATATGCCACAAGAATATTAAAATATGGCCATATAAACTCACTAGATGATGTCCACCTGTATACAGTTTTGCTAATTTCTTTTTTCATCATTTCTGCTGAATCAATAAATGTTTTCTTTGACATGCGGAAAAATTTAGAGAATTGAAAGTTATCATAGCTACAAAGCCATGGTTCCATCATTAAAAAAAAATCTGAAAAAACATTTCTCCCATGAATATTATGAAAGGTTTCTTATTTAAACTTTCCATATACAGTTGTAGACGAAAAAGCACCGATTATTAAGTGATAATAAAAATAATCAGAGATTATATACGCGCTTTTCTAAAATAAACAACTTGCAACAAAACCGCGGTTAAAACCAACGCGTTCAAGCGATTCGTGTAACTGACGTCATCAACCCGTGTGTCATCTTGAAACAAATTATAACCGCGGCACATAACACAGAAATTTTGGTTATTCGCTTGGATTTGATTAAAATATCTTGGTTTGCTGAATATTTTTATGTCCTGAGATAATATATGTGCTTCTCCTCAAAGACATGTAATGTAACATCCAGGGAATAGTACCATGTAAGAGAAGTAGCTAAGCATACCTCATTTAAATTGTTTTTTGTGAATATGTTACAGATATATCAATAACAACATCATTTTATTTTAGATAATTGGAAGCAAACTAGTCATTACAACAGTAGAACACTCCAAGGCCATCTGAGCCATTTATCTTTATTGGACTATAATACTGACTTACTTGAAATAAATGATCAAGACATCTATCCTGCTAGATCAGAGCTATTTGCAAAATCAAGACCATCCATTGCACCAAACAAAATAAAAGGCCCATACTCCTCTGTGGAAAATTATTTGAAAATACAATATGACTTATTACGAGAAGATTTTATTGGTCCACTTCGACAAGACCTTGCTGCCTTATGCAAAGATAGAGACACTGTTCAAAATATATATTTTCATAATGTCAAGTTTTTACGTAAAGGAATAAAGCAGGATTCAACATGTCACTGTGTAAAAATTTTATCAAAACTGGATAAGGAAGTTGTTGCTTCAGATTCAAAAAGGCTGATAACAGGGTCATTTCTGCTTTTTTATTACAAAGACTTACATACTGCTATCTGTGGGAAAGTTGAGGACAATGACCTGTCAAAATCTCAAAGGTAAGATTTTATGAGCAAAAAGATATATGCACCTAAAAACATGTGTGTATGCAAACCATAGATTGCTGTTGAGTTACCACATATTTAGTAAAACAAAAATTTCATTGGATTTGCACTTTTCCAAAATAATAAGACCTATGAATGACTTAAGGAAAACATAGCCTTCATTTAATATGCTTTTTATGGTACAGGTATGTTGAGACATGCAATTTCATAACAGCTATGGACTATAGATTACATTTAATTAACTTTTGCACATCAATATAATCCAGTTATATTTTGCTGCCATAGTGACTAGTCTAGACCTCACATGATGGTGTCTATGGAAAATAACTAAAACCATTCATTAACAGATTCTACCAAAGATAGTCAACCTATGCTATATTTCCGCGTCCAAAAAATATCCGAGATAAAATGATATACCATCTATGAGAAATTATCACAGTTGTTTCTCTATTTACTTTGAAAAAGTTGGAGTCTCATAGATAGTACTCTACCTACCTTGTTTATGCTCATATAGTTTTGGCTACATCACCATCTATGGGTCACTAAGTGTGCATAATAAATAATAGAGAAACAACTGTGACATACTCTCAAAAATGACACTACATTTTATCTTGGATACTTTCTCAGACGCGGAAATATATAATCTTAAGGTAGAGTATGCTAAATCAGTGCTAAAACATTTAGTTCACCAGGAATGGAGTAGCCCAAATTTTTACACTATAACAATGACCCAACAGTTATATTTGTGGAAGGCCTAATCCTTTATTAGAAAAAACAATCTTTTTGATAGTGTGATTCCAATGAAATGAAACGTTTTTGTGAAAAAGTTATACTATTTTATTGATTATGGTGCTGTTTTGGATATTACTCTGGTTGTATCATTTTGAAAATATAGTAATTTTGATAATAAATTCGTAATCAGCGATCTGAAAAACAAATCCGGATATACATACATATTTCTCCAGGTCATTTTATCAAGCTTGATACTTTTCTTGAACCTTTCGAGTATTGGCAATATTGCCAGTTTTTCTTCATTAGAGCATCCTGAAAGGCCTCAACTAGTTGCTATCCTCCACAATTTTGTTCATTGGATTATACAGCGTTGTTCAGAGCTTGTTAAAGCAAAACCAATATCCAGTTGTGTCCTTGAGGAAGCTGAATCGTCGAAACGCAGCGATAATTGTCAGAGAACAAAGTAGTCGTAAAATACTCCAAGGAATGACCCATTGTATTTTTATCCCTTTTATTTTTGTTTGAAAATGCGTTTCTTAAATACTTAGGACGAATTTCTTGATAAGCATTGTGAGGTTAAGTGGTAGAGTAGCCAGCTGGCTAAACTTCGCCTCGCAGTGTGGATGGATTAATAAAGACATTCTTATTATTATTATTATTAATAATATTTACCTGATTACTAGAATTTATGTTTAACCTTGCTTCCAGATTAATTGTTAGCCTCCATCCAGATACATATATGTATTTAAACAAAGTATATACAATGATAGAGTACAGTGTCCTTTTTGAACCTTACTACAATGCTTTGAGGGCTTTAAAAGGAATGTCTGACTATACATTTCCTATGGAAAGGTAATAAAAAAATGAATAATGATTGTTTTGTTAAATGAAGTGGCTTTCTAGAAGAATATTTTTGGTGAAAGTAATAATAATTTATATTTCATAGGTGTTAAATGACACTAAAAATAAACTTCAATTTTTTGTCAGGTATATTGTGAACTTAAATCTTTCTGTGAATCGACCTAGTTACCTTGTGGGAATAACAAGAAATGTATATGAACGTAATTTGAATAAATATCAACTTGCTGCTTGGCAAAATGCAGTGAACAAGGAATTTGTATTGATTCAGGTAATACAAAATTAACATGTTCATGTTAAATTCATAGGCTATCTGTTTATTAGGTCTTGAGCTATTTAGGGGCTCCTGAACTCAAAGAAAAATGTTTGAAAATCATGGTGACCCTCTCCCTCTTGTGATTAATGTTTGAGCCCCAAACAATTAGCAAGATGCTTATAAACCTGTAACACTTTTTTGATCTTAAATTGTTGCCACTGGCATTTTCAAGTGGGGAATATGGTGGTATACTCGGAGCCCTCTCCAACCATAGCTTGATCTCCATGCTTTATATACATCTAAACTACTGTGTTGTTCTAGGGCCCTCCAGGCACTGGAAAAACATTTTTAGCTCTGAAGATTGTGAAAGATCTCATTATCAATTGCAATAGAGAATCTCCTATATTAATAGTTACCTACAAAAATCATGCTCTTGACACCTTCTTGGAAGGATTATGTGATACAACCAAAGATATTATCAGGTATTTTTTATGAAATGTTACATATCTATGTAATTTATTAATAATATTCATCATCAAACATTATATTGTAAATTATCAAACATATTATTTATGTAATCCAGACCAGATTTGTCAATAGTGTTGGTCGGCTGATTTAAAGTTCTTCTTATAAATGAATTAATTTTCCTGGTTTTTCGAAGTACTGCGTGATTGTGCTTGCACGTTTTTAAGCAGCAGTTTAACGTGTTTGTTTTCCAGACTCGGAGGACAATCTAAAAATCGTAAGATGGCTGAATTGTCAATAAAGAACCAGAGGATACAGCAACGTGAACGTGGATTCACCGGCAATTCGGCATTTGCAGTGAATAAACTTTATAAAAGTTATATCAGTGCTGAACAGAAACTAAAATCATTTGGAGCACATTTGGATATGGTGCTTACTGGAGAAGCTATTGTACAGTTTTCTACCCTGGATGAGTCACTTCCGAAATTTTGTCCCCATATGTGGGAAGATGTGGGATTTAACCATGAAAAACGGATCATGTGGCTATTGCAGAGTAATGATCATGTAAGACTTTTGAGGCTAATATAATTGTTCATGAATCATGAATAGTCAGCATGATGATACCATCATATGTTGCTTTCAGGGAGAGGATTTCGAACTACTGGAAAAAGCGGCTTCATTGTTACAATTATTGTGAGTAAAAAGTAGTTATAAGGTGTCATTTTTGCGCGACCTCGACCATACTTGCCCAGTGCTTTTATATGGCGCGCGCGACGTTCACATTCGCCCCAATCCAATGACCATTCGACTTTAAATGCCAGGGCAGGTAGGAATAAGCTAATAGAAGCGGCGATCGAAAGCTCATACACTACTCAAAAAAACTAAGTAAAAAAAATTGAAAATTTTCGGTGATTTTTGACAGGCTGTATTTTGGTGAAAACGGGCGTATCTAGACTCTAAAAAAACATTATTTGCTGTTATTAGCCGTTTTTAGCTGTTTTCGCATTGGCTCAAAAATTTGAGGGTATGCGGGTCAAGCGTACCTCAAATATTCGGCGCATCGAAATACATAGACCTAGATGGACCCAGAGGACTTCATACATGCCCACAATTGTCCATTGTTTTTCATCAAAGTTTCCTCAAAACTATTTGTCTTTCCTTTTTACTTACTCATGACTTGATGTACCACGTCAGGTAGCTATATAACTAGCCCCCATAGCAACGTTAGTTGATCCATTGAAAACACAGTCCTGTGACCGAAGCCACAAATGTGCTGCTGGCTCTTGTTGATGGCTTCATGTTGTATTTTTCTTTTCATCCTTGTTTTCCTTCGCCCTGTATCCATATGTGATGGGCATATGTTTTCACTCCAGTGTTTTTGATGCACATCCATTTGGGCCTGATGAAGCCAGTAAGCAGAAACGTACGTCGCTCGAGTTCTATTTTCTATGATCCTGTTCCTTTGTTGCGAACATGCCCACGATTGTCCTCCAAAAATATATATTTTTTATTGTATTGCATTTTATTAGAAATCAGTATTCAGATGTACATATATTGCCTACTGCTCTATTCCAGACACAAATCGGGCGGATGGCTGTTTACAATGTCATCGATTAAATCGATTTGTAAAGACATTGAAGATTTAATAAACTGTAAGGATGTGGAAATGCCTTTATCTGTGCAGTGTGATGAAAAACTTTGTGAACTTTCTAATAAAAAATTGAAAAAGTTAAAGGAACTTTTTTTGAAGCAAATCAGCAAAATAAAGGTAAATTATTTAATATACATTTCATAGTTTCCATGGGTGTTCAATTTTAAGCCTGTACTCCAACTTTAAAATTTTATTATTTTTCATTCTAACATAACTATGAACACTTCCATTTTAATGCAAGAATAAATTAATTCAATGTTTCTCTTTCTTATATCCTCGACAAAAAGTAAGGAGTTTACTTGAAAATTTATCTAATCTCAAACAGACCTTGAAGGTCATTGTCAGGTTCGTTAGCAAGGATATAATTGAATTCAGGAATTAAAAGTAGATGTTTGGCGTTAAAACTCCATTTCATGGTCAAGGTCACAAACAAAGTTTTTTTCTTAATTGTTTCAGGGGTTTTGTTTCCATTTAAAAAAATTTCTGGACTTCAGGGTTATTTCAAAATCACGTTCAAGATCACCATTATCAAAAGATAACTTTAAAACTTTGTTCTACAACATTTTTCTCTAGGAAATGTATTTTTTTGGGATATTTTGATCTGTCTATACTTTTTGACACCCTGTATATTTTCGCGGATAAAACGGCTTTCAATTATTAATTTATCCGTATTCTGATGCTGACAGACTGGACAGAAATTCACATATAGATTAATTTTGGATCAAACTTCAGCAGCTGATACCACATTCACTTAAAAGGATTTTTTCTTACCAAGGTGACCTTCAAATATCTGAAAAGAATCACAGGATGGATTGCGTTGGATACTTTAATTATTGGTTATTAATCTTTATTTTTTTAGAATTACATGACATCAGACTTGCCAAAGATAGATATCAGTAATATGACAGATTTAGTCACAAATCCTTTCAATATACCTGTCCGTGGACGATGGCAGCTTTATAGGGAGTGGATCGATAAATATGCTGCAAGATATCATGAGAATATCGACAAGTAAGCATTCGCAAGATAACTATAACCAACCCATAAGTGTGAAACAAATATAGGGTTATTAAAAAAACAACGGATATATTACTGGAAAATAAAAGTACATACAAAAATAGCATAACAATTTTATATAAATATAGCTCTTAAAATGTCATCATATCAAAATGCAGTGTTGTATTTTTATATGGCACTAATGGTACTGGTTACTGATGAAACATGAATATTCTTCAAGTAACGTTATGGAGAGAAGGGATCAAATTCGTTAAGATACTTTATGCAAAAATGCAACAAAAGTTAGTAACGAATGTCAATTTTTTTAGGCATTCGCGTAAGAGAATACGAATATTCAGTTTTTCTCGAAAAAGAGAACCCTTCGAAGCGTTTATTTTTGAAGTTTAGTCTCCTGCTTCAGTTTGGTTATCGATTCGTTGTTAAAAAATATATAGGAAAAGTAGTTTGCGTAATTATTATTCTTTTCTACAAGATGTTTAAGAATTGTTTTTAATTGAATTCTTTATTTGTAAAAGATTTGTAATTAATTTCAAATTATGTTTAGGAACCTAATATTATTTTCATGTTCGTTTTCTGATATATCCGTAAAGTAACCGCGGATATATTATGGGAATATTTGCGAATGCGAATACTCATTACATCACTAATAGATGTTAAAAAAATGTCACTGGAGTGTAGGAAATAGATGGTGAATCAAAAAGATACCTAAAATAGCTGCACAATTTTAGATAACTTTACGTTTCTCACTTATGCCGGTCTCTACAGGGTGATTCATAACTATGTAGCAACCTCAACATGTAGGGGGGTTGGATCGCTCTTTCTGGAGCTACGGGATATTTGTCCGAAAAAACACTCAACTTTGTCAGCTTGTCAACCACTTTTGCAAATAGAGTAACAAACTTTTTATCAAAATAAGCTTCATATCCCATAGCTACTCGCCATTATAATATTTTTTGAATTTTGTCTATCATATATAAACACAAAATGTATTTTGGTATAACATTTTTGGGGGGTTAAATGATTACAAAATTTTTGAGTGAATTGCGGTTTTCCAGAATTCCTTTTAGGACCTATGTTTATAAGAACTTGCTTTATTATTTTTGGATGTACTTTTTCGTCTAGAAATATCACAATTGTTTTTTGGAGCCACCCTGTACCTAATACTTATATCATTAGTGCCTAACTAACAATATATGAAATCAGAGTTGGTCCGTCTTAATTTTATAGTGGTGATTATCCAATTACGATTTTGACTACGAGACAGTTATGGGATCTCATTTATCTCAAAAAGTCTGGACCAACACCTAGACGTATTTGGCTGTCCATAGTTGTATTTATATCCTAACAATTGTTAGACATTTTACTTTGCATGGAATGGTACATCATTCTGACGATTTCAAGGGCTATTGTTGAATGCAAGGAGGCCTACAAGGATTTCGACAGAGCGAGTCTGCCAGACAATGTAGAGTTGATGAAAAGAATGAAAGTCATAGGAATGACCACCACATGTGCTGCTAGAATGCGTAGCACATTGGAACTGTTGAAATGTCCCATTATTGTGGTTGAAGAAGCTGCAGAAGTTCTAGAAGCACACGTGGTTTCAGTAAGTGTTTCAAAAATAAGACTTTTCAATATTCAAATCGCTCGCGAAATTGTTCTGAATCATCACCGAACGGATTTGGAACAGCCAAGCTATCGTATCGGCATAGATTGTAGAATTGTTGGTTTTTTGATAACCAATATCTTGATACCGATTATTGTTATTTGGAGTCGGGTTTGACCTATATTTGATTAATGTTGATTCTACTGCAAGATCTCGTTAGTATGGATTCTCTGTTAAGATACGCTTTCAATTTGTTCTGTTCTTGGTGAATTTTAAAACTGAGTTGTTCTTGCCTTGATAAATACGACGAAAATGGCAGTACTTTTCAACTAGAAATCTTTCCAGCCTCATCTCTTTCATTTCTTTCTGTGTTCGATTTTCTTTTTCCTTTGGCTTTGGAGCTGAATAAAAATTTTGATTGTGATTGAAAAAATGTTGACATTGCAAAACTCCAGCTTTTCTAAAAAAGTGATATTCTCACAATTGACCCTGGTACTGACAGTCTTAGTGTGGCCAGCACCAACAGAGGATTCAAAGTCCGTGAAAATACATGAAAAATTCGTCGTGTATTGCTTTCGTATATAAATGTAGTAGGGCTGTGTAGCTTCAGTATTAATAATATTATCTCATGATTGGAACACAGAACTCTTGAAGTCGCCAATTTCACATATTTTCAGCAACATACTTAGTTTTGAATTTTCTTGGCTAGTGCTCGCCTCCCTTAATGCCAGTATGCTATTTGATTTGAAATTCCACCTCAAATAGTGTTTCTTAGTTATCTAAATCATTTAATCGGCTGAGATCCCAATGATGAAACGCCCGGTGTACACGGCATAGGACCAGTGTCTTTAATTTTTTATTTATGTTTTAACCCAATTTTTAGGTTGTTACGAAACACTGCAAACATCTAATCCTAATAGGAGATCACCAGCAACTCCGTCCATCCGTAGCCGACTATGAGATCGACACGAAGTATAACCTAGGTGTCAGTCTATTCGAACGTATGGTGATGAATGGTGTTGAGTGTCACACGTTGAATGTTCAGCATCGGATGAGGCCCGAGATATCAAGACTGATCGTTCCTGCCATATACCCTAATCTTAAAGATCACGAATCTGTCACAAAATATCCTGACGTAAGAGGAATTGATGGAAATGCCTTTTTCTTGGACCATAATGAGCTGGAAGAAGGTAGGACTTGGGTTTTACACCCTTTATCAATATTTTAGGATGTTCTTAAAACTGGGACACAGCATATAGTCAACATGAGGAAATATTCCTGTGGGTTTACTGCTATTGCTATGTTATCACACATTAAGATTGTTGTTTCTAGAAAGTTCCAACATTCAGAACACATCTCCATTGAACAAAATATTAGTATATTGAAAATTATACGATTTTTATTATATTAACAAGTCTACAATATGCTTTGAGTACTTAAACTGAGACACACCAAACCGGACTACTATTTGCTTCTTCAGATGCATTAGAACAAAGCAAGAAAAATACTCATGAGGCCAGGTTTCTCATTAGTCTAGCTCAATACTTATTGATGAATGGTTATCAGCCTGAAGAAATAACCATATTATCAGGTTACTTGGGTCAAGTCAAAACGCTCGATAAAGAGAGGCGGTTGTGTTCCCATGAAGGCATGAAAAAGATTGCAATTAAATCTGTTGATGATTATCAGGTATTCTTTTTTTATTGTACAGTATATTATTTTCAAAGTAAGAGTACATATACAGGGTGGCCGATATATAACTGACTGGTTTGTATCTTGAATATTTGTGAAATGAAATAAAATACGTCCTTTTTTTCTCATCTTAATCTTTTATTGAAACTTATTTATTTTATTAAAATTATGTATGAAAAATAGCATCATACAAATGTCCGCCTCTAGAAGACGCACAAATCCTAGTCCTCTTGATTGCACTTTTTTTTTTTGATAAGTTTCGGGAGGAATATTTTCAAACGCTCCCGTAATATTGTCCTTCAGCTGCTCTACAGTATACCGCACCAAACTGTGACTCGACGAGGATGTAGTGGTCGTTGATGGATAACACGAGGGCTGTCTAATTCCCAGATACGACAATTCTGCTTATTAACAAATCGGTTCATATCAAAGTGGGCTTCATCGCTCATTATCAGTTGTCGGCAAAAATCGTTATTTTGGCTATTAAGCTGCAATATTGCATGACTGTATTGTCGGCCAGCTCTAGGAGTGACTGCGCATAGAGCTAGGAGGAAAATGGAGACGTGGGTTGCAAGACAACACTCTCAGAAATGGAGAAGTATCTCCGCCAGGCACGGAAACTCATTGAAGGGCCCAGAGCTAAGGATGGACGTTTCTGCTTATCTCTGGATAGAGCCAACCTAAGGTTGCTGGTGGGACTGTTGTCTGGCCACAACACGTTAAGGCGCCATCTGCACGTGATGAGGGTGGTTGAGGATCCCTTGTGTGAACGCTGCGGGGTAGAGGAAGAGACCTCGGCGCACGTTTGGTGACGCTGTGAAGCTCTGAGCTACTATAGGCAGACTATACTGGGGTTCATTAACTTTGGACCCTCAGGACGTCAAGGAGCTTGGACTCAAGGCGATTCTCAACTTCGCTAAAAGGACGAGGCTAGTGATCTAAGGAATGTAGAGGTGCATAAGGGCCCGCTTAAGCAACCTATGTACTGGATCCTTATGGTGGCCGAAATGCGTCTAATTTCAAGATTCATTCATTCATTCATGGTCACTAGGCTGTAGTTCTTGGGTTAACTGAATTTTGTGTGGCCGCAAATGCAATCATTTTTTTAAAATAGTGCATAATGACGTGCGACGAATACCCTTTCAGGGTGCTCCTCTACACTTTCACGAACTCTCTCGATATATTCCGGAGTACGAACAGTTCGAACACGGCCCGACCTTGGCAAGTCTTCAACTTCACCTGTTTGATCAAATTTCCGCACCAACTGACGAATGGTGTTGACACCGACATCTTGTCGTAGCTTCCGAATCGTTGCAACAATCGACTCATTATTTAAGTAAAACGTTTCAACAATACGAACGCGTGGTGGGATCGTGTAGCGCTCCATGATGAATTGGACACATTTAAACAACTACTGCAGCGCCACCTACTGAAATGCGTGTATCAAAAATGGTGCGCAATTTAAATCAGTCAGTTATATATTGGGAACCCTATATGAAAGCTGACTTCCTTTATAATTTCTTTAGGGTGAAGAAAATAAAATAATTCTATTGTCTTTGGTCAGAAATAACGCTCACCGTAGAATAGGCTTTTTGTCGAACGAAAAAAGAGTATGTGTAGCTCTTTCCAGAGCAAGAGAGGGCCTCTACATTATGGGAAATATAAGACACCTGTCTGCCAGAAGTAAAGTAAGCAAGCTTCAATATTATATTGCATTTTGAAATATGATTACTAAGAAGTTAATTTTCATTGTTCGTTATTTTGTGCATACATTGACAGTTCATTAGCTAAAACTTACCTAATATTCGTTTATTATTTCGTAGTTATGGAGACAAATCCGACAGAAACTTGAATTTCATCGTGCTGTCGGTCGAAAACTAGGATTAAAGTGCCAAATCCATGGTGGCATCGCATATGTGCAGTCACCTAAAGATTTCAAAAATATCAAGGAAGCTGGATGTAATAATAGTTGTAAGGTGCAATTGAAAGATGTACAGGTGCAATTGAAAGATGTACCTCATATTGCGGTTGACTCGTGTGATGGAAATTCTTCGTCACCTAAAGATTTCAAAAATATCAAGGAAGCTGGATGTAATAATAGTTGTAAGGTGCAATTGAAAGATGTACAGGTGCAATTGAAAGATGTACCTCATATTGCGGTTGACTCGTGTGATGGAAATTCTTCAAGGTGTATATTTCATCCAAGTGAAGTAGTGTTTATTTCGACAATTTTATACTGTTTGGCCCCGTCGTGGTTTTATTTTTTTAATTTTGTGGTGATATTTCTATTATCATACATTTTTGCTTTGTCTATGTGGTAGAATCCTTATTCTTTGCTATTTTTTGTTAAGAATTCCTCTGTATATTTACTTTAGTTTAGGTTCATAGTATTTTTAGTTGTTTTTACAGTACCAAAATACAAATTGATGTTACCAACTGAAAAGTGTCGAAAAATGTTACTTCCATGTCTTATGTTAATCTATCTATATAAATAGTCTAATCATATTAGCAAATTTCCCTGAAATAATAGTAAAGTCTCGTAATGCGACGATAATTTCACGCAACTACTTGAAATTCTTCATATCCGTAGGTTTCGTACTTGTAAATAACAACAACAAAATTGGAGTTCAAAGAGCATTTAATAGTAAAATACTCGTGTTTACCTGGCCGATATGAATCACAAACCATTCCAAAAGGTTATTTATATGCGAAAAATAAAGTTACGTTTTCTTCTAAACAAATTCAAACATTTCGTATTTGTGAGTAATAGAGCAAATGCGCCAAAATATTCGAAAAACATACGTTCTGATACACATTTTAAGAAAAAGCGGATGTGTCAATCACCTTTTGTTGTAATTACTCACAAATACGAAATGTTTGAATTTGTTTAGAAGCAAAAAACGTAACCCATTCTTTTTTGCATAAAAATAACATTTATCTTCCGGAATGGTTTGCGATTCATATCGGCAAGGTAAACTAGTGTATTTGCTATAAAATGCCTTTTGAACTAACCCTCTATATTGCTCAATAAACTAGTAGTGATGGTCGGAAAACAGGTGTTTTGGGATAAACAATTAGAAATTCTCGAAAACTACTTGATCAATCTACTTCAATTTTGTTATGGTTATTTAGAAGTATGAATCCTACGAATTTGGAGATTTTCAAGTATCTGCGAGAAACCGTCATTGCACAACCAAGTGCCAAAACTTGCAGTTTGCCTCGGTTTTCGGCCATAACTTTTTTGGTATTACTGGGATCTTTTTATGTGTTGTCTCATTTTGTAGGTCTCATAAATACCTAAAAATCTTATATAAAGAGTTGTTTCGCTTCTGCCTACAGTTTTGATTGAATTCCAAAAACACGTTTTCTCATTCTTTGTTGCCGAAAACGTTTTCCCACAATAATTGGTGCAACCTATTTCATGCGTCCATGTTTTAAATACCTCCTTGGACAACTTCCAGCAATAAAACCAGACTTTACAATTATTTCGCAAACCAGGGGTATTTTCGTCTAATTACGCATTACCAAGTGCCAAAAATTGCAGTTTGTCTCGTTTTTCGGCCATAACGTTTTTGCTATCAGTCGGATCTTTTTATGTATGGTCTCATTTTGTAGGTCTCATAAATGCCTAAAAATCTTATATGAAGAGCTTTTTCGTTGCTGCAAACAGTTTCGATTGAATGCCAAAAAACACGTTTTCTGATTCTTTGTTACCGAAAAAAAAGTTTTCCCACAAACATTGGAGTGCCCATTTTTTGCAGCAATAAAAGCAGACTACAATTATTTCGCAAACCAGGGGTAATTTCGTCTAATATGATTAGACTTAAAAGCCCAAGTAAACGCTCATATCTAAAGAAAGTAACATCATTTTCATTAAAATACTGAGATTAAGCTTTTAGTTGAACACTGTAGCCCTTCAAGATTGTTGAATGAACACATCACTAATATTTTTTCAGGTCTGTGCATGATGAAGTGGTCACCAATACCTCTGTATCTAAATGGTTTCGATGCTGCTGTATTTTATAAAAATATTTTATAGGAATTCTAATCGACCATAGTCGACAAGTACAACGTCATTTTGTAGAACCTAAACAGGATGCTTTCGTCCGTCTGACCAGAAGACAGCCAACCGTAGACAGCTGTTTCGTGCTTTTTGGCTACTCATCAGCCTAGTCTAGGATTGGTCTTTCGTCTCTGGGACAACGAACGAGAGCATCGCAACTATCCTCTACCCCGGGAGGTACAGGCCATTGAAATAAGACCAACTGAGATCTTTACAGATCCAACAAATAGCAGCTATGTGCTCTAGCAGTGGTCGATTCTGGTGATAGATGGCGCTTTGTGCTGCCTCATTTGTTATCTTCAATGTTTATGACAATTGATCGATGATCGGAAGGTAATGCTGCAGCAGTGCGGCTAGGAATTCGACGTTTTCTTAATAAGTTGACATAAAAAAGTTTCACGTAATTGTAATTTAATTTCAAGTTATAAAATATTATATAATAGGAATATTGTCATTGACTGTGATAAGGATATAGTTAGTTTATAAACTAATCTAATATATGAATATATCATGTTTTTATAGGTATTCAAATAAAGTGTTGAAAAAGTAAGTATGCCTTTTCAAAAGTATTATGACCCATTAGCCTGCTTAAAAGCACAAAATAGAAAACCAATCCATAGAATATAAATATACAGGGTGTCCCAGAAGTCGACGTCAAGCCGAAACCGAGTGATCGGCAAAGTCACAATAATAAGAAAAATACATATAAGTAGTAAAAGTACGAAATCAACACAAACGAATACGTAAAGATGCGCAGTAAACTAAGGAGCGTTACATACGAATCAGTGTGCAATAGCAAGTAGCATAACATAGCGACACTATCTGTCTGGCTCGCACTTCGTAAAATGGCTCTTTGTTTCACTCAAACTAGAAAAAGCCTTTGGGAGATAAAATGATTCTAATATTCATTTAAGTAAAAACTTGTTTAAAAATGGGTTTTTAAATAAAAATTGTGCATAATTTAACTAATAATCTTCTGTGTGTTAGACCATTTTGGAATCCTTATTAAATGCGCCAACTTTTAAAGTTACTTGCCAAACTCTCGTAGTACGTTTTTTTTTAAATACAGTCAGTTAAAGCTGAGCAAGGTTAAAATTAAAAAGAAGTGAAATTTCTAGTTTTTTTTTAAAATACCTATAATTTTTCAAGCACACCTAAGATTTTTTTAAATATTTTTCGGATAACTATTATGACTTTGCCTTTTCGGCTTAACGTCGACTCATGGAACCAATATATATCAACCAATCATCTAGATTAATTGCTTCATTTAGTTTCACTTTGTAACTAATTTATTTTGAATAAATCCTATTGATTGAATATATATGTCAGTGAAATGACTTTCCCCCTGAATGGGATTAAGAAATCACCTTTTTGTAAAATTTCAACATTTTCCAAAGCATGATGACAATAGTGTCATCTGTTCTATAGGCATGTTTTCATTAAATTCCTAATAAAAATATGTGCTGCCCTCTATGAGCTATACCCGTTCCAGGATGCCCTACGTCAAAACAATTTTGTAGGTTAGGTTTACTGTCAAAAAGATCAACATAAAATATGTATTGATTTTTGTCAAAGTTTTCTGCAGGCATTGAGACTTGTGTTGGACAGTGCATTTTTATCTATTGAATGATGAGTTTTTTCAAAAATGATGAATTGACATTTGTATACAAACAATAACAGTTCTTGCTTTGTACTATAACAAGTCTGTGGATAAACAATAGTTGCTGGAACTATGAGTGGCAACACTATAGCAGCAGCTGATATAACTGCCCTAACTCTAGAAATTGGCCCATTTGAGGCTATACATCGATGGAAACGTATGCCAGAATGTGATGAATTTGTAGGAGCCAGGTATGTAAAGGATACAAATTCTTTCAACTCACACTGCTACAATACATTCTTGTTTTCATTTTATATATTCATTCTCTTAGACGCAGCAAACACACTGTAGTTGCATATAAAGATGCTATATATGTCTTTGGAGGTGATAATGGTAAGAGCATGTTGAATGATCTGTTGAGATTTGATGTGAAAGAGAAGAGTTGGGGTAGAGCTTTTGCTACTGGGTGTCCGCCAGCTCCTAGGTAAGTATTCTCCAAAGCCCATATCACTGTCTATCCTGTATTGATTCATCATTGTTCATTCTACACCAATTTTAATGCAGTATGAAATGGTTACTGTCAGTAATTGGTGCAGTTTCTTCAAAGCACCCATTGTAACTATATTCCTATCTAATTTATTTTTGTGAGTTGGTTATATGTACTTTTCCTTCGTTCTACCTCTCTTTTATTTAATTCACCGCTTTCATCCTGTCTTTCCCTTTTTCTTGTTTATTGATTGATGGGATACAGAAATAAAATGTTAAAAGATGTCAAACAGTCATGCTTATGACTTTGCTTTACCAGTTACTTGGGGCTGAAAATATGAAAAATAACTGTCAAATTATTATTTTGATCTTGACAATTTGAAAACTCTTTGATGTGGAACATTACAAGGAAACAGTAAAAAACTAGATGAAAAATCAATGAATATATAAAACAAGAGCATCCTTACCAATTGAGTGACACACACTATCTGGTCCATATCAAACTAGGCCTATGTTAGACTGTGGTCATATATGTTGAACACCCAGACACGCAATCCAAAAATAGCAGTAATATACTTTTTCACTACTAACTTGAGATATTACCATTATTGAACACAATACTTCTATTTATTTTTCTCTGTAGGTAAATAATAAAAAATAGCTAGGTAAAATATGAATTCTGTTTAAAATTGTATTTTATTGAAGTCTCCTTGTCACTTTGTTTCAAAACATTTGAGAATCGGTAGCAAATGTATAATAATAGCTTTGTCACTGTGAATATTACCTGAAACCTAGTTAGAACAAAAAAGCGTTTTTGAATATAAAAGCAGAACTAAGAACCAACCAAGGTTTCTCCTATTTTACTATCCGATCGTGACATGCTTATGCCACATTTCTTTCATGTTATATTTATGCAGGGTGTCCTGTGGGAAAGTTCACTGATTTAAGAAAAAAATATAAACTTGATGAAAAAAAATGTTTATTGCTATCAACATATTCGTAAATTTGGCGGGTTTTATTTTAATACATATTATCAAGTCCAAATGTTTGCCATCACTTACTAGACGCAAATTTTCTTTGGTATTGCAGCTGCTTATGAATCACCACTCTTAAAGTAAGCCTCGATAGCAAAAGCACGTTGCGCTCTGGTCCAACGTTCCATTGTGACTATTTAACCCACACGCTGAAAGCGTCGATCAAGACCTCTCCCCACTTCCTCGCGTATATGACTGCCGCGTAATTCAAATTTGAAATGTCAACTTTCAAACTGGACACCCTGTTCATGGCAAATGTATTTATGCATACCTCAGTGGAGAAGGCCATTATTGTCCTCGCGCATTATATCCCTCAGAATATCGAACTTGCCTGGCCAATGATGGCCTATTTCTCCATTTCGCCACCTAAGTATGTAACATACTATGCGTTTCGATAGATACCATCATTCTACAGTGGTGCATAACAGCAGTATGTATGTGTTTGGTGGCTACACAGGCGACATCCACTCCAATTCAAATCTGACAAATAAGAATGATTTGTTTGAGTACAAATTCGGCTCAGGCCAGTGGATAGAGTGGAGATTCACTGGCAAAACGCCAGTACCGAGGTCGGCACATGGCGCGGCAGTCTTTGACAACAAGCTATGGATATTTGCTGGATATGATGGAAATGCTAGACTGAATGATATGTGGACTATTCCATTGACGGTTTGTAACTACTTAAGTGAATGTCTTTCAACTTCTCCTACCCTCTCTTGTCAAAAAATTCGTCACTGGGCGTGCAGTACCCACACATTGTTGTCATTTACACTGACTTATAAATGGTATCCCTACACATCTTCAATAAGAACCTAATTTTTCCAATTTTTTGTCATTAGAGCATCAGCACCTCGAAAATCCCGAATTACCTAATATTAAGACTCTCTGTACACGTGGCTCGAATTATCTCGTAGAGTATCAGTTATAATACAGTAAATATGACTATTATTTGGGATTATTAAGAAATTAAAATTTCATTTGATATTTTATTCCAGGGTGATCCGAGATCCTGGGAAGAGGTTGACCAAAAAGGCGAATGCCCACCCACATGTTGTAATTTCCCAGTAGCAGTTGCTAGAGACTGTATGTTTGTCTTCAGTGGGCAAAGTGGTGCCAAAATCACAAATTCTCTCTTCCAATTCAGTTTTAAGGGCAAAACGTGAGTATTACACACCTTATGCCAATTAGCGATAAACAAGCTTGAATTATTTTTATGTAACATACACTTGTTCGAGAAAGTAATGCATATTCAAAAAGTAACTGAAAGTTTGAAGCTGATTTTTGTCATAAACACATACGATTTATGATATTTGTTTGCATATCCCAGTAGGTGCTTAGGGATTTAATTTTTGATCAAACCTACAAATTTGGTAAAATATGACATGTATTTATATTACCAGAATGTAGAAGTGTGGGAGTTATGTTTTAAATTCCTCTCCTCCTCTCCGAACTAGAATTCTCAGTAACCTTTTGGCGCAATTGCGCCCCAAAATCACCAATAATGTGAGAAGTGAGTAACTATACGTCTATATAGTTGGCTACGTTGCCATCTAGGAGACCCACACCTATTCAAAGTAGATTTCTAGTTATTACGGAGAGGAGAAAACATAGCTGCGACAAATTTTCATAGTTGACGCCAGGCTAAAATATTTTTGCATGGGAATTCTAAAAGCCTTTGGTATACCTAAAAATTTTACAATAACAGGTTAAAAATGAAATCTCACAGACTATTGTTTTGTAGCATCGACGGCTGTGGTCATTAGGTGCGCTGTAGTAGTTACCAGACTATTCAATCACCTTGTATTCACTATCCATTATTTACAGGTGGACCCGAATATCAACGGAGCACGTGCTACGTGGTGCCCCACCGGCCCCCGCACGTCGATATGGGCATACGATGGTCGCATACGGGGACCGGCACCTGTACGTATTTGGTGGGGCTGCCGATTCAGCATTATCCAGCGACCTACACTGCTTCGACTTGGACGCCTGCACGTGGAGCCAGGTATTGAACGAATTAACTGTATTATTATGCGATTTAAACAACTGCAACATTGGCTGGGCCGCATAGCAAACATGTGATGAACGAGCTACTCTCTCGTCCCTCACTTTATACTATAGCGCTCACTGCTTAAAGGGTAGCATCCAGTAGTATTAAAACCGCTTGAATCTCGAAAACATTGTAATCTCGCCTTGAAGATGGTATCTACTCATCTAAACACGTGTTATGTATCAAAGAATCCGTTTGGCGAGCGCTGAAACATTACACGAGAAGTCTTAGGCCCGTATCGTCAGTCGTCCCTATAATTGTAGGGCGCCTTTATGGCCTCCTTGATTGTCATAGTTTTCTACTTCTCCGTGTCAGAACTCTATTTTGAGGTTATGTCACAAACATCTATTTGCATCAAGTTGTGCTTGCTTTTGAGTTATATCATGTTTTATCAGCCTGAAATTTCCTACAATTTAAAAAGAAAACATATCTTCACACTAGGACAGCGCTGACGCTGACACCGGACAAGTGTAAACTAGAAATTTTTGAAGGAGAGAAAGGAGTATGACAATCAAGGAGGCCATAAACGCGCCCTACAATTGTAGGCCTCCTTGATTGTCATAGTTTTCTACTTCTCCGTGTCAGCGCTCTATTTTGAGGTTATGTCACAAACATCTATTTGCATCAAATTGTGCTTGCTTTTGAGTTATATCATGTTTTATCAGCCTGAAATTTCCTACAATTTAAAAAGAAAACATATCTTCACAATAGGAGAGCGCTGACGCTGACACGGGACAAGTGTAATCTAGGTATTTTTCAAGGAGAGAAAGCAGTATGAGGCCATAAACGCGCCCTACAATTGTAGGGATGACTGACGATACGGGCCTTAGTGTCATTGGTAATAAGCGAAACGATAATTAACTGATTCCGATATTTTTGTTTCTGAATCTCCATGATCCATTCGCCGTCAAATAAAACCGCATATATGTAGTGTTGAAGTTTTCCCAACGTTTCGGTTACATTGGCGACCTTTTTCAACATACAAATCAAAAAATTTCAATAATACATTTTATTTCCATATGTCATAATTTGTTTTTGTTGCTTAAACGGTATTTAATCTTCAGCTTTACGTTTGTAGTCAGGAAGTTAAAACTTAGCTTAAGAATTTTTAAGAATAGCGGCTCCTCCAAAAAAACTTTTTTGACTTCGCCCAACAATCAAAAACGGAAAAACATCGGAAAACGAGGTGTGGAGACGTTCTAGAATTTTTCGTTTTTTGCTTTTAACTCTGCCGCCACTGGACCGATTTTCAGACCATATAAAGCTTTTTTGTCCTCGATATTGTAGTAGAGTAGAGACAAGATAGACCTGAGGAAATGAATGACATGACTTTTGGTGATGTTATGTAACCTTGAAAAAATATCATCTAGACATGTGTAAATCCTTGAAAGCATTTTTAACATGACCTTATTATACAGGTGCTAACAAGATAAAACCTTGAATAATTAGTGATATAGCTTCCGTCCGTCTGTCAGCCCATTGATATGGAACTGAATTAACACAGTAATGTTACTTTCTGACTATCAAACATGTTGTAGGTTCGACCTGATCAAGAATCTATAGTTCCTACTGGTCGTCTGTTCCATGCGGCAGCAGTTTTGGGAGATGCAATGTTTGTATTTGGAGGAACTGTAGATAACAATGTCCGCAGTGGTGAAATGTACAGGCAAGTCTATGGAAAATTCCATCGAATAATTTGATCACATAAGGCATTAAAACAATGTTGATTCGCTCAGATGTCTACAAATGATCGACTTTTTCAAAAACGTGCAAAAATATATTGAGAATAGTGGTGACAGAATGGTCAGGAAACTATAATAGTAATACAAAATTATATTTATTTACCCATATAGAAAATGATTAAATAAATATAACATATCCTTCTCAGTAATAATCACAGAACATCCTAAAAACGTAGTGTTGCAAATAGGAACTGTTTGGGATCACAATACTTTTGTTAGTTGTTTTCAACTATCGCGAATATACAGTGTTGCAGAATGTTGCCAGAAAATGTGAAGGGCAGATTCAGTACGTCAAAATATAAATTTGTCAGATGAGTTTAAAATATAACTTGTTGCTAATTCCCCGTCGACTGAATGTCTGTGACTTCCATTGATATCCGTTTATATTCATATGGCACTGATCAAGCACAAATGTTTCTGTCTGATATCGTTTCGGTGGCGGTATCATCGCGCACTCAGCGAATATGAATCTTGTTCATATCTGTGTCTATCCGTATATTTTTCTGACAACATCCTGTGCATCGATTCCGGGGAAATAGTGTTAAATGGTTTTTATAGGTTTCAATTCGCCAACTATCCAAAATGCACTTTGCATGATGATTATGGCAAATTACTGGAAAGCAGGCAATTTTGTGACGTAAAATTTATGGTAGGCCCCGAAGAGGATAGAATTTCAGGGCATCTGGCTCTTGTAGCTGCCAGATCAGCCTATCTACGTAACAAAATAAGGCAAGCAAAAGAGAACAGAGACAAACATCTCGAAAGAGTTTTTGGTAAGTTTAATTTGAAGATTCCTCTACCTATGCATAATTTTCAAAAATTCTATGTGTGATTTTATGGCTTATACTAAGACTGTTTCATCCTCATGAGCCTAAATCATAATACTGAAAATTAGTTCTTTTCAAATCATTTCTGAGCGACAGTGTTAAATTTTAACACACAGTAACCAGTTGAGGCGTCAAATGATGATGTCCACCAAAAACGAGAGATTTAGATCACCATGGTCAGACTAGCCCTAATGCAATATTGCTATTTTCTACACCCTGTACCATAAAAATTATATTTTTAGAAAGCCATATCATTCACTGAAAAAAATTGATCCTGGTTGGATTCCCATAAAAAGAGCCTTGTTCCAGTACTGCTTTATATTTTATGATACTTGTTACGATTTGCCCATATAGTGGATCACCATTTTCAAAATATAGCAGTTTTGACAACAGATTCATAATCAGTAACCGAAAAATGTTCAAGATATTTTCAGATCAACCAAATTTTAAGCCTATGTTCGGTTTTTAGGGGATTGGCTGCAGTGTATATCGATAGTAGCAGTAATGAAACGATATTGCCTCTCTCAAAAACGATTCATTTTATCCATTTTAAAGTCAACATTCGGCTTTTCAAAAATGTCATTTTTGAACCACTACTTCTACTAGGGCTAGTCCGTCTGTATCGATCTAGATGAGGTAACTTTGTTCACTGGATAGTGCAGAGTCCTTTAAATGTTTGCCCAATGTGTTGGAAACACCCTGTATAGTCACCTATATATACATTTTATTTTTGTCGTAGGTACGTCAAACGTCACCTTCACTGATCTTCCCTTTTTGGAGGTAAAACTCCCAGATGCTGATCCTGAAGCATTTGAAATGGTACTAAACTACATTTATATGGATTGTATTGATCCTACCAAAAAAGTTAAGGAGGGCGAGGATCCTTTCTCTAACAGAATTGTACTCAGGATGATGGATGTATACAGGTAAGCATATTATCAAAATACACCAAAGTATTGATTTTTGAAAATTGACGCAGATCTAATTTGTTCTTGAAGCACCAAATATGAAATCTCTGACAGTCCACACAAGAATGCAAATAACCTCATTATGTACTTTGGAGGCGTTAATCAATTCTGACAACGTGGCAGCGGCTTATATACTAAGTGACATATAAATCCGAACACCCAGTTTAAATGGTTTTATTTTAATAAAAGTTGGTGAATGTATTTATCTTACTGTAAATAACAAGTGAAAAAATTTTCAGCCTTATCAGTTGGACATTCCGGTTTTTTTAATTCACTATCGCTCTAAAAATGAATTTCAGCCGCAGTAAAGAATCAACGTTGGCGGATTTTGGTTCTTGACATCCTTTACGATCGGTTACGATGCCTAGAGTACGGAGACCTGTACGATTTCGTCAACTTAGTGAGTTTGATAGGGGCCGTATAGTGGGACTTCGGGAAGCTGGACTTTCTTTTCGGGCAGTTGCAGTTAGAGTGCAAAGAAGTGTAGACACTGTGGTTAGGTGTTGTCAGGCATGGCTTCGAGAAGGCCGTACGAAAAGAGCAAGGGGCACTGGACGCCGCTGTAGAACAACAGACCGTGAAGATCGCCGCCTAAGATTATTGGCCTTAAGGGACCGTTTCTCCACTACCAGGTCCATTGCAAATGAATGATTTGCAGAACACGGAAGACCTATTGGCATGCGAAGTGTTTACCGACGAATGAGAAGTTTTGGCTTGTTTTCATACCGGCCACACTGGGTCCTCCCTTTAACTCGAGAACACCGACGTAATCGCCTTGAGTGGTGCAGACAACGGTCACTCTGGGATCAGGAATGGAACAGTATTGTCTTTAGTGACGAGTCTCGATTTTGTTTAGGCATGCACGATGGTCGTGCCAGGGTTAGAAGGCGACGTGGTGAAAGGAGGAATCCACAGTTTTTTGTTGAAAGACATGTTCATCACACTGTTGGAGTTATGGTTCCAGGTCACCTTTAATCTTCATCAGAGGTAACATGAACGCGCAGCGTTATATCCACGAAGTTCTAGAACCCCATCTTTTACCCTATCTTGACACCCTGGCAGATCCAACTTTCCAACAAGATAATGCCCGACCACATGTTGCAAGAGTCACAATAGACTTCTTTCAACATAATGATGTCACATTGTTACCATGGCCACCAAGATCTCCCGACTTATCCCCAATTGAGCACGTGTGGGATATGATGGGTAGGAGATTGCTCAATTTGCAACGTCCTCCTCAGACTCTAGAAGCACTTCGAGAGGAGTTGGTGGATGCCTGGAATGAGATACCACAGGAGGACATTGACCACCTGATCAGAAGCATGCCTAGGCGCGTTGTTGAATGCGTAGCACATCAGGATGCATCCACACATTATTAAAGGTCAAAGGGCTTTAAAGCAGTGCAATCATTTTGAAATTTTTATCATTTACTCATTATGCTTCATTAAGTACTTATACAAAATTTTATTAAAATAAAACCATTTAAACTGGGTGTTCGGATTTATATGTCACTTAGTATATGATGTTCCAAAAATATTGTTTCATTATATTACTTAACCTTATCCAAACTTCATTCAACCCACGTCAAAACTAACCTGAGCACTTAGTCGTCAAATTATAATTTTTCTATTCGCCTGTCGACAGGCATTTATGACCCGTTGGCCAATAGTGTCGCGAGAATTGAAAACATCTCCCTAGTGTTTGGTCAATGAGATTTGAAGTTTAATGTATTATTTAATTAATTTGGAACGACCTCTTGTTGGTGGCTGAAGCTAGGCCAATACCAGGAGTCTCAGAAACTTTTGTCGATATTACTATAGCCCACAGTTAGTACATGAAATCTCTGTCGACTATATACGATATCAGGACAATTTGACTGTAAAACAACCAAATAAAAAAAAAGATTGCAATAACCAGGTACTCCCAAAAATGATGAACAACTTGTGCCTGAATTCGAAACCATATACCTAACTATTACATATAATAGCCTTGAAATGTAGACCTATCGTTGTGATACCAGTTTTGAATTAATTTCAAGCTGTTTTTTGAAAGAAACATATTTCAGACTGGCTGTGCAGTTCAACATGGTCCGTTTGGAGCACTTGTGCGTCCAATACTTAAATGCGACGATCTGTTTGAAAAACGTTTTGGTAGCACTCAGAAATGCCGACCAACTGCAACTGGACTTCATCAAAGAACATTGTCTTCGGTTCATTGTTAAAGAAAGCAACTATAATCAAATTGTAATGAGTATTGAGTTTGAGTTTCTAGAGAGAAGCCTTATGGTGGAGATTATCAGGAGGAAACAAATGCCTTTACAAAAAGAAAAGGCAAGTAGCTATTCCTACATTTTTAAAGCAGATATTTGTGATGCGTGATTGCGTTTCTTTTACCTATCACGTCGATTGACGAGGAATTGTTGTAAACGCAGAAAAATACGAAATCGGCATATTATGTCTTTTTGATGTTACATGACATGAAAATCGCGAAAAACCATGTCATTGATTTCAGTCCGTCGGATGTTACCATTGCGGTAATTCCGTGGCCCCTCTATATTTCGGAAAGTACCGCGCTGATTTTGATGATATTTTACACTATCACTACCATGCCAAGGATGAAAAAGCTTTACTGGTTTTGAGAATCAGTGTAGTAGCAAAAACGGAATATTTTATGCTAACCCTAAACTTGGTTTTTTGATGCTCTTCGAATTCTTCATGATTTTTGGTCGTAGCTTGGCGTGTTACAGTGTCGATTGCTAACAATCGATACAAAGGCTCAGAAAAATTGTGCCCAACAATATGCTACTTACTTGGAAAATATTTATATTATTACAGGGAGTTTCGTAACCAAGTGGTGACCCAAACTTACATCTTTTAAATGGAAAGAACTTCATTTTGTAGCAGATTTGGACAGGCCCTTTCAAACGAAGCAAGTTTATATAACACACTATGTATTTTTCTATTTACTATAGTTTTTTGATAGTTTATACAGGGTGGTCAAGAGAGCAAAATGAACGATTTCCCAAAATTTTCAAGGTTTCCCTGTGTTTTTAATAACTCAAAAACACACTACAAACCCCCATAAGCCCCATATCAGCAAAAGCGTGTGAAGAGGAGAATCTAAAAGTGTGGAAATTTATAGGGTGTTCCATTTGAAAATTTTGAGAAATCGTTTTTGCGTTCTTAACCATCATCATGTATAAACTACTCAAAACTGAAAAAGTAAGTAGATAAGGAGAAAATATGGGATCATAAAATGTTTCTCAAAAAGAACTCGGTTCTCTAGCTATAACAGTTGACGAGGTCTAAGTTGTTAATGTTGAGTGTTATTTTATATGCATTGTCCAATATCAAAACAATTTGTATAATATCTATATTATATAAAATTGCTGCGTTTGGTAGGACCTATCCAAATGTGCAACAAAATGGGCTGCGCCTCCCTACCACTAAATACAAATATATGGAAACTATGTGTGACTATTGTGTCTAACAGGTGCATAGTATTTCCGGGCTCAGAAGCTTCTTAATAATAGAATGTGTTTCACTAATATCAAAGATGCAACGCCCTCAAAGGGTTCTAGTCCTTGGTAGTGACAGACAGACTGACGAAAATGTCTGACATGGTGTTTCTCTGGTTCTTTCTTAATGTACCTGTCAGGTAACATCCAAAAACATAATATCGCATTCTTGATTTCCTCAAATCATGTGTATTTCTAGATTTTGGCAGAGAATCACTTCGATATGGCGGGCAGCTCTTTGGAACAAGACATGGCGATGTTTCTACGTGTGACTGGTAACGAATTCTGTGACATTATCCTGAACTTGGATGGAAATTTGATTCCAGCTCATAAAACCATCCTGGCCGCAAGATGCGGTTACTTCGAGGCCATGTTTAGGTCATTTATGCCAGCTGATAGCAAAGTCAACGTATGTAAAATCCATTTAATAATACTGCCTTGCAATTTAAATGTGTTGATGAACAATTTTTGACAAAGATTCGCAAGCTTGGGCCCCGCTGCAAAAATGAGTAAACTAGAATGTGGGTCAACAGGATTGGGAAGATGGTAAAAACAATGTAAATAAACAATAAACATCAATTAGCTATTACAAACTACACTGTATCAGCAATACAGTGCAACATAAACAGTTCCTATAACGTAGATCCTAAAAGGTTTGTTCAACAATATGCAGGCATTTACTTTCTTTTTCAGATCCAGATAGGCGAGATGATCCCTTCCAAAGAGGCATTCGACTCTCTACTGCGATATATCTACTATGGAGACACTAACATGCCTCCAGAAGACTCCCTGTACCTTTTCTCTGCGCCATTTTTCTACGGTTTCACCAACAATCGTTTGCAAGCCTTCTGCAAGCAGAATCTGGAGATGAACGTGACCTTTGAAAACGTCATCCAAATTCTTGAAGCCGCCGACAAAATGCAAGCGACCGACATGAAAAAATACGCTTTGGATTTAATCGTACACCACTTTCCAAAAGTGGCGAAGTTGCCGCGTTTGAGGATGTTGAGCAAAGAGTTGATCCTGGATATTCTGGAAGTTCTGGCCGAGAGTTTGGACATCAACATGCGCAACGACGTGTCCAGTGGAACGCTGAACTCAGACACCTGATTGGCGCTAATGAAAACCGATCTGTGCCAGTCGCTGGGGAATATGTCGGCGATTTTATTTACTGTCATTTCTGTGATTATAGATTTGAGCTTTATTGAGAAATTTTTTGTAGATTTTTGATATAAGTTGAGCCAGTAAATGATTCGAACATTCATATTGGAATTTAATTTTTGCCTATTAATACAAGGTTGACACGTGGGAAAGTTCACATTTCAAATTTGAATTACGCGGCAACCGTATACACGAGGAAGTGGGGAGACGTCTCGACCGACGCGTTCTAAGAAATAAAACCCGCCGAATTTACGAATATATATCTTGATAGTAATATTTTCTTTTCATTAAGTTTGTATTTTTCTTAAATCAAAAAGTGAACTTCCTCAATACCCAAAAAAATAGGAAAACCGACTAAAGGATTAGTGACTACTACATCATGAGCATCAAAATATGTGTTAGAAATGTCTTTACTTTCATCGAGAGCTATAGCATACTGCACAAAATGGGCACATTTTTCCCGCAGTTGTTCTTTTGAATCTGCACCAAGTTCAAGTATCCGACGAGAAAATGTTTGCTCAGACATCAAAGTTACTTCCAACATACGGGTACAATATTTCTACACACTCCACTAAACATTCTTTGACAAATACACCGTCAGTAAACGGGTTCGAGTACCTGAGGAATAACGAATTAAAATATAAGAGTTTGTGCATTGTTTTTTTTTTCAACTGCACTAAAATGTAATGGAAATATTCAAATGACTCGCAATTTTAGAAGAACAGTTTGAAATCTGAAAACTAAATACGAGAGAGAGAACATGAACTCAACAAAATGTAACGCATAATCAGACATATAGACATATTTAGTCGTTATTAATAAAATAAACATAAAACCCTTGGATACGAAATCATTAATAATAATCCACCACGAGCAAATTAATAATTACCTCTTCAGAACTTAGAAGGGCTTACCTTAATTCATCAATTCGCACTCGTCTTGCATCGCCAGTAATGCCATCATAATCCGTAGAATCTTTGCTTACATAATATCCGAATAGTCTACGGACTTAACCTTCACTACGGTGTGAAAAATTAAACATTGTGCTTTTCCATCAGTATTTACAAACGAATAGGCTTCTTCCCATGCAGGATTGAACGACATCGGTTAAAAAAAAAGTTGCACGTTAAGACGCAACAGCCTGTGCACTGTGTCCTATTAAGAAATGGCCCGCGCCCGAGAGACAGTCGGCTAATATTTTTCTCTCTGTCGCGGCGGCTGTGCGGTCGAGGTGGAGGTGGATCGGCATCGGTGCCGCTGCGTTCAGCACGGGGGTGCACCATCACCGAGTGCTAGAGTTGGAGAGGCCTGGACCCTTACTCTATCTACTAAGCGTCCGTATCCCCTCTCTCAGCATAGGGTGTACGGCGTCCAGTGTTGTGATTGGTCGTGCCGTAGGGAGGCCACACCCCACCGCATCATTGCTCCGATTCAATTCTCCGTTCAGTAACCAGTCAGGGCATTTTCTTCATTTTATGATAGCATTAAATAGTATCAGTGTATGGTATCCACAGCTTTTTCAACATCAGTGAGTGAGATTTGGCATAGCAACTTCCACCTCGATTGTTTGGGCTGTGAGAAATATTGACTTTTAATGGAAAGCAACTACTTGTATGGCTATTTGTTCGAATCTTTTGAAGACGCACAAAATGTTACAAATTAAAAAAATGTATGTTTTGTTCACGACTTTAATTTAGGATTGCTTTTTGGCGTATCAATTAAGGACCATCCTGTAGTCATAGTGGAACGAGATATTTGGTATGAGAAATTTAGGTGGGTAATAAAAGTGCAAGAAGTAATATATAATAAAATATCTTCATTAGAGAAAACAATAAAAACAACAAATAAATTCCATAGTGATGATAAACAAACACATATCGTTTTCTGGTTTTAAACCTTATACAGTCTAATTACATTTTGAACAAAAATAAAAGCAATTTACCTCTATCAGGACAGTGTTATATCAATAAAATGAAACTAAATTAAACAATTGTTTTTTTAAATATCCTGTGAGATATTTGGCTGATACAATATCATGAAATCTGTCCTTATAGAAGTAAACTAACAGTGTCGAGCATCTCGAACCTTTTTCCAAAGTACTAACACAATCACCAGTCTTGTTTTTCATATAAGTTGTTAGTGAGTTTTTCAAAGAATTAGGTGTGATGTGATCTTATGTGTTAATACTTTTATTTTTTATTTATGTTGTATATCATCAATGTACATTTATAGTGAATATATCCGTGCAAAAAATACAGTGGATAGATAAAATAGTATTTAGATTCTAAAACAACTTTAGATATACGTAATTATATCTAAGCTGCTATAGATCAAAACACAATTATAAAATTGCGTAAGTTTCTTTATCTAATTTCTTTGAGTCTAATCAATCAAACTACATTAAAACTCTTCTCAATTTTAGCTACATGATAATCATAAAGCAAGATACTGAAAGGCACATTAAATATAAGATATAGACTTTCTATTTTGTTTTTAATCAGTGGTGAAAATCTGCTAGCATCGAACATACTAGCTATCAGTCATTGAAAATCGTCAACATCCTATTCTAAATCATACTGTGCTTCAGAATTACTACAACATATGTAAAAATAATTTAATCCCCATAACAAGCGGAGTTCCACCACTACAGATTGTTAACTATTTTTGACACATTAGATGTTGATTTAGATTGATACTGATATCACTGTAAATAATGTTATGAATCCATATTAAAAGTCTTTATATAGTGCACCTTCCATATTAGTTGATATTCTAGTTCCATACAAGGAAACTTTAGAATTTTAAAGGAAATTTATCGAAATAATATATAATGCCACTTCACTACCTAACAGTAATTTCTTTCGTTATTATCCGACAGTTATTTAAAACCTCTGTTTGAAGACAAATTAATTATGATTATTTATATAGCTACACTTTAGAAGAACAAGTCGGCAAATTTTATTTTTAGAATTGAAACAAATTTACTTTATAATCCCCCCAATACACAGGATATTCGAATTTTAGTGGTGCTGGCGAATTTCAAACAGAACTCGGTATACTTTCATAAAATCTGACAAGTATAAACGAAATTGATCACATTACTATATACTGTCATTACATATGCATTTCAATATTTAAAGACGTTCAATAGGATCGTAGGGTAAATTAAGTAGTGTGTTAAATAGTATCATATAGTATTTTCCTGTTCCCAAGCACACTTCTTACACCAATAGCAAAAAAAAACTCAAAACGTTGTGAAACAGTAGGTACATTTGATACTTAAATTTTACCACCCTGTGAATAAGAAGTATGTGATTCAGTTTGAAATGGCAAATATTAATAAGACATTATCGTATCTGAGAAAAGACTGAAGACATATATACTGTAGAATGTAATTTTATCAATGAACGATCAACAACTGTAAAATACTTCCTAGTATTTGGCACGCAAAGTTTTTTATAACACAAGCTATTTAAGCATTTCTAAAACCACATTGGATTTCGTTTTAAGTGGAGCATAAAAATATTTTCGACACAAAAGTTACAAATCTTAAGATGGTTAATATCGGGTATAAGACGACAATCTCTCTTGTATAGAACATAAAAATTACCGATGGGGCTTTTAGACGAATTCTTATTTAATTTTGATAAAATGAGCCTTTTTCAGAAAAATAGCTGAACCGCATGAAGATCGATAAAAATCTAAAACTGTATAAGTGATCTGAAAATTGATATCCTGGAATTTTTTGGTTAATTTATTACAAATCTATTATCATGATTGCTTCATTTTGAATAACTAATATAGTGAATCCAGTACTAAAATTGACTGGACTGTATAGAAACAAGAGTGTTTCGCTCAAAAATGGCTCATTTTGTGGATGCCAAATAAGAGCACATTTTTTCAACTTAAAGGCTGATAGTCGATTAGTAAATTTTATATATATGAGGCCAGCCGGTTCTCGTCGATTTATATGGAGAAATTGTTTTTATGGACACTATCATGTAACTCCCCATATGTCTACAACGTTGAGAAAATTAGGCAGAATTATACAGCGTCGTTCAAAACTTGATTAAGAAACGCTCTTTATGTCCTATATCTCCTATATTTCCGAAATTACCATCTTATTTTGGGGCAACCTATATAACTTAAAAGCAAAACTAAATATTGAACCATACAATTGAAGTACTGTTAGAGAATCTATACCATTATTTGATTTCGCGCTTACCATGTCCGGCACATCGAAATCGGACTTCGGGAAAATCACTTTTTAATAACACTCTAGAGGATTTGGAGACGTATATTGAAATAACGCGACGAAATGTAGTCAACAAACATAATCTGTAGGTGTAAGATCACACCAGGTCTACTCAGTACTACAATTATAACACTTATAACGATTTCTTAGTTTCATTTCATTTTGGAGTTCTAAAACACTCGATAATTTTTCCATTTTATGCAGTAAATACATAAGATTCTATCAGGTTCTAGATTCATCTTACTGACAAACTAATCCACAAACAACTTGGACGACAGTTGTACTCAAACGTCACAAAAATTGCCTAACCATAGCACCTTTGACACTCACTCTACGATGACATTTTGTCTGTGCCTAGTTTTGCCTACTTCAAACTGTACCACATCGTACTTAGTCCACGTTTCCTCACAACGAACAAACACATAAGCGACGTCATATCATCAATACCTAGTACGAATCAAGCACACACCATGAGTGCAAGACGTGAGGATAATCCTAAGCCTACTACATTCCATCTGGTTTCGGGATGTTGGTGTCGTATGCTCTAATCACGTCCGTTTGCGAGACAACTCCTCCTTCTTCTTGCGAGAACGCGAACCCGTCTGGGGTACACAAGCAAAAACGGGTGATTAGTGAAATTCGTGGAAGTGGCATGTGAAGAGACGAATTCAGCCAATAAATGAGAGTTAATAGTATTTACCCATTATACGGAATCATACTAGGATCGTATCTAAAACGTTACATAGCAGCGGACCATCCATTGTTTTTAAAAAATGTATCGTTCATACGAGTACTGTCAACCAAACGCATATCATACGCTGTGTACCGCGTTGTGTGAACGTCGCCTGCCTTCGGCTAATTTAATCTAGATTCATGGCACAATTCTAGTATGATACGGTATACTGTACAAGAACCATTAAAAGGTTTATGACGATACTTGGCAGGCAAAGATGCAATAACACGTTTTTTATCCCTATAAGCACGTTGTTTGAAGTCTATGTCAGACTCGTAGTTATTTGAGAGGGAAATATGTTAAGCTCGAGTTGCCTTTCAGCAGCTCGTCGCAAATGCGTTTAGGTCATATTAACATTGGTGAAGTGTATTGTTTCCAACATTAAGGTCCGGTTTTTCAATTGCAGGTTAATTCTCAACTATGACTTGGTGATTAACTATCAGTTAACAGTGAATCCGCTTTTCAAGTTTACAAAGCTAGTTGGCTCTCAAGATAAAGTTCACTACTATTTTAAAATAAATTTGACATGCGTTTTGATAGTTAGCTTCCGATTAGTAGTAAAACCGCAATTCAATTGTAAACTTAATGCTAATCGGTTGGTGACTCTAGAAAAGCCTTTTTAAGTGCTAGGTTCGTTCTAAGACGATTGGTGACTTTAACCAGAATAACATCCATAAGTTAACTAGAAGATGTTGAATCGCAATGCACAATTTGACCTGACAGTCACATATGACGCGAAACACAAACAACCAGAACCTGAAATACGCGTAACTGACACTCAACTTCCAAGTTATAGTTGATTAACTTGGAAGTCAACTGCGATTGAAAATGCGATCCTAGGTGGCTACATTACCACGAAGATGATTTGACGGTCAGCGATTATTTAAAAGACGTAGGTACACTTTCCATGGCATTATGGTCAACTTAATGCTGGAAATAATACACTTCACCACTGTCAGCGAGTATTTTTTGTTGTTGGACTGTCAGTCAAAATAATGACAAGAATTTAGTTTAAAGTCTTTCTCTATTAAAAAATTGACAGATAATCCATCCCGTGTTATTACACCGTATTCAATGGAAACAAAACTGTCCGCCTTGGTTTTACGTGGTGAGTTACCAAGCAGTTGGTACTCGGGCAATTTTGATAACGTAGACTAGAAAACACGTCTCTTCACATGAAAGTGGCAGTACATAATAGTAAAACAGTAGAAGTGCAGACATAGTTAACAAGTAGCCTGAAAAGTTATCCATTCGAAAAGAAAAACAGTTTTTTTGGAGATTAAACTCAAAGTATGTTTCTCCGAAAGTGTCCTTATAGTCAAAAATATTATATAAATCATATAATATAAACATCTGCAGTTCTGCCATTTACGTCAGTGTATTTAACGTTAGACTAGAGATACTTTGATTATACCAAATATCAAAATTTCTAAAAACAGAAGGTTTGCATTTTTGCATTCTTTGAAGTATATACAGTAAACTTATTACTACTATTAATAAACATATAATGTGGCATAAAGTCAAAATTCTTTATCAAAGGCTGTCAAATAGCTATAGCGCCACCGACAACTTTCGGCTTTCTTTCGTTCTGTTTAAATATAACTTAATAATACAGGGTTGGTAAAACAAAAATAATAAATATGGAGCTTATTCTAATCAATTCAACCACAAATTTGTCCATGTAAGTTATATAAAGTTACATTTAAACTAACTAGAAAAAAAAGTGATAATGAAATCAAAGTACCTTCAATCTATAGTTACTAAGTCGTGAAAAACTTGCTGTGGTATACTTGAAGCCAAAGCAATTACTAGGTATATCAAAGGCAAAGCTATATAGTTAGCAGTAAGGTATTTGTAGTAAGTGTTAGATTGTTAAACTACTAAGGACTAAGGTATTGTTAGTAGGGTATTGTGAAGATTAGCACCAAGACTAATTATTAACATTGGTTCTTGTTGATATGAATTCAATATACTCATTCTGAAACGTTTGTAACTAAAGAAAATTTAATAGAAGTCATAATATGTTAACGCAGATGTACAAAAAATTGTTCAGCGTTGGTGGACGAGAAACTTTGATAATCTGTAACAAAAGTTTATATACCCAATCAGAGCTATGTTGACGACTCGATAGATATCTGAAAAAGTGAGTCGAATCTGATTTGAACAAGTAAAAAACGTCACAAGTGACAATATATACACGTGACTTCCAAGATCGGTTCATCATTGTAGGATATAAATAAACTTGTTATAATAAGAATGAATTTTATCTTATACAAAGTTCTACATCCGCTATTTTTTGCTTTAGGACATAATGGTGTCTGTGCGCCCAGCATACTATCAATAACATCTGCTTTTTGGATGAAAAATAAGTTATAGTTGATTTTTTGAAGTCGTAGATAATTTAGTATATATTACTTTTCGTTCTGTTCATGTTAATATGAGCGCGAGCGAATATACTTTCGAGTTATTGCAGGATATCCGGATTAATACCACATTTTTTCCGAAAAACAGGCAAACATTGGAATAACGTAGTAAGTGTAGATTAAAAGATTGCTCCGTTTAAAATATAAACATAGATTAAAAAGATAAAATTCAAAAACATGATATTTGAAAGTAAATAAACATGGCTCTCCAAGTTATTGCTCTACTAGAATGTCTCGAAACATTTTGCCTTGAAACGTTATTAAGATGGTTGACGTCGAAATGTTGCGAAGCCTTTAGCTACGCCTCGAACCAATGTTTCGACCAGTGTGCGGTGCCCCGTATGAATATGTACATTATTTAAGCACAAAACAAAATATTTCGATCTGTTTACTACCACTGATGAGAAAAAGACAGATGTGATATACAGGTGATCTACTTTCACAATACCCAATCACGTTTTTTTAATTACATACGTACATTTAGCTTCCAAGATTACCTCCCGATCCTACGATGAACCGATCCCAAAATCAAAACGCAATAAACTTATCGAAATGTGCCGTGCGCGGCATACTCACGTGCTAGCTCCACCTCCGACTCGATCCTTGGGGTACTCCTCCTGGTGAAGACGTTCTTCAGGAGGCGAGCTGTCTCCGACAGCCTGCAACCATTCGAACTATGCCATCTGCGTCATCGCTTTACACCCGAGTCGAGTTTCTATTGGTCATCGCAGCCCCCACACGACACTCAACCGTTATCGGAATCAAGATATTTCATAGACAAGCTCACATGCGGATAGGGTTACACAGAGAAAGAGAGAAGTGTTGTTTCGTGTGTGGTGAGTTGGTAGACTAAGAAACAGACGGAAAAGATCGCAAAAATTCCGATGAGAATTGTAAAAGACTCCATATAAACTTTACGGTAAATGGCTTTTGACAATTTTTTTTAAATGTAGCATATTCCATATTGCAAAATTCGAATTCGTTGTTGCTAGAAGTGTTGTATGTTGAGATACAACTTGCAGTTGGGATCACATTTGTCCGACAGTCGTACTAATGCTACTTTAATTTGATACCACATGAAGCATTTTCTTGATGTTTCGGCGGCTTTTGGAATTTATCCTGTGGTTATCTATCTGATCCATCACGTTTCATTTGACCATTACTCTTAATAAACTATAGAATGGTCTTGTATTTTTAGTTAAACTTTTTTCAATCATCACGAAAATGTGAACTCCTAATATACATTTTTTTTTTGTACAAACAAAAATAGATAGTGCATTTGGTTTTATGCGATCTTTTTAATATGAAAATGTCTGTTTTTTAGACTACCGGTGTTGAAAAGCAGGTCCATTCGTAGTACTTCACTTCATTGCTCTAGACATCTTTGCCGTAAACGGAGAGGTTTTTTCATATAGTGCGTATGAACTAAGCAGTATAAAACTATATCAATCTGAAGTGACGTACCACTGTTGTTAGTACCAAGCAACTACAGCAAAGCACATTAAGCAAGCATAGCGCCAGGCAAAAGTAAGAGATAGAGGAACATGCAGTAATGATACTTACATATCGCAAACTGCTCCAAGGCATGCAAAGGTCTTGCAAAACAAAATTACAAATATTATTTCACTAACACAAAGTTTGAGAACGGGAAATATACTACATTGCCATATGCATAGATCAATGTTGCGTTCAGTTACTTCCATAGTACAGTCTATCTAGTGGTCAGAATATCTAATTTGTCGCCGTTACACATGTCAAAGTATATACTGACTATACTATATCAGGCTAAGGTTGGCATCTCATTGATTTTTTGTGCAGTTGAAACATTTTCCTAGTGGTTAACTAAATAATACAAGTTGATCTAGCTGATTGTGTAAATATTAAACTTCAATATCCTATTTTATTTATTAAATGGATTAAAAGAGACTAGCATGAATTGTAATATTGAAAACAAACAGAAAATTAGACGATTTTCATGAGAAAAAGTAGAAGCCAACCAATATTTAGTACAAAGGACATACGAATTTTCTCTTACTGTATAACTTTGTCAGTGAAATTGTAAAAGGTGTCATTTGTATAATGGAAATCACATTATGGGATAGCAGAAATTCCTAACAAACTAGGTACATTTATGTATTTTTTGAGCAGGTGTGATATACTTAAAAGTAGAGGAAAAGCAACGTCTTAGTTTAAATCCAAAGAATTAAAATTTACATGTAAAATCCATACATCGGGCATTTTTGTAATAACTATGATTTATGTAAATTAGTTTGACTAGTATTAGTGTAAAACTTTTTATAACAGATGACCATCTAAGGTTTGTCACATAAATGTACCTGGTTCAAATATGACTAGAATATATAAAAAACAGGTAGACATGCATATATTTGAGTTATTCTATAATATTAAAGTGGTCCCTTAAATTATTGACATGGTTATATTGTGCGTAATACTTTGTGCATAGATTGTTAAATATCACAAGTTCAAACTACCACTAGAAGTTTCAGTTTTTCATGTATAGAGCTACATAAAATGTATATATGGAATTCAGAAAGTGTGCGTTGCAAGTCAGAATATCAACCGGTATCTACGCCTGGCACTTGCACCAAGCATTCATAAATTGATTTTTTTGTCGTTTTGAGAAATTTACAACTTCCCAACACAATTGAAATCTTCAAAACATTAAATGTGTATACATATGTGCATAAATACTTGTATGGACTTAGTCTGAGTATCTGTAAGTGGAAGCTCAGATACTGCAAATCATTCAACATATTAGTATGGAAGGCAAATGCCAGAACTATGAGTACATTGTAGACTTTTCACTTCAAGAAAAGACCCCATTACTACTAAAATTAGCAAAAAAAAAATACTATGAAATTACTGATCTTATAGAAAGCCGAGCCAGAATACATACAATAAATTATGTATCATTCATTTCATACAGACAAAACACTTTTGTAGTAGAAAAATCTGAATTGAAGACACTCCCAATACATTTTTTCTCATTTGTGAAGGATGTCAAAGCTTCCTGCGAAGTGAATTTCTTTTTATTTAGATGACCCAGTTCATGCAATCGCCTTATGCACTATTATGCCGAAAAATTATACTTTGGTGGTATCTACGCGTCTAGGTGAGGAGCGTTCCATTCAAAAATTTCACGTTTAAAAGAAACTTTGCTATTCCGTTCATAAATCGCCATGATCTCATTTTATCTCAAGGTATGCGTTGTTTAACAAATTAAGTTATAACTCATGTGAATTCTAAGATATAGTGTCTAGCAACTGCATGTAAAGTTCTACTCTGTAAAAAAAGATCTATATACGTACTTGCAAAAACTATCAACTAAACTTTGGTGCTCAACGCTATATCTTGTTAAACATTATGCAGTTGGAAAGTTGGTAAAAAAGAGACAAGTAGATTAATTCAGTACTTTATACACAATAGAGTGCACTATAGTATTGCGTAAGGAACGCAGGGGAGGGCATTTGCTTTGTGTATTTTTGATGACGTGAAAGCCAGAGGATAGGAGGTCTGGATGGTCGTTACGTAAGCAATATTTATTTTTTAGCTAATTACGATTTTTTTGCAAAGTTCCAATTCGAAAAAATATAGCATCTCACTTAATAATGCTTAACAGTGAGAAGCAGTAAGGGAATTCCGGCGCGCACAATTGATCTGTTTATATTTTTTAGGTGTCATACTGAGCAAAAACACAAAGTGAGCAAACAGCAACCTTCCAATCTCATCGAAAACTAGAAGCCATGATTTCAAGTGTCATGCACTGACGTCAATCAATTTGAATTTACCAAATATTCTAATAGAAAAAATAATTAATATCGTTTTCACGGTAGGAATATTTGAATATTATGATTACAAAAAAAGTGCAAAATATTCACATGAATCACAAATTCTCTGAATAAATTTAGCAAAGTTTACGTCAGTATAGTAAGAATTTTGCTTTCTTTCGCTGACAAGGGGGAGGGAGAGAAGGATAAGATATGAAAATTCTGTTTAGGTATTACTTACATGACGCCTCAGCTTCTTTGTGTCTAAACTACGCACGTACAGTAACGGACAAAAGTATATAGACAACCTAAATTAATATTTACCTAAATACCTTTAGAAAACGAATTCATACTTCATTGCTCCATAAACAAATGGGTTATTAGTAGAAAAATTAAATTCCTTGTTTTTACATTATCTGCAATGAACACAATACAAGTCTGAATATAAGAACTTTTTTATGAGGGACAAAAATATGTAGACAAATTCTTTTCAACATTAGTTTAGTAGAGTTTCATGTCAGAAGAGGATTAGTTTGTGCTCATCAAGTATTGTGGAATAAGTTGAGTGATTTAAGACCATGCCGTGTGGTCCAGAAATTTCTTTCGATGTGAAAATTAAGATCATTGAGTTATACAAAGATGGTCAACGTCAAGTCGACATTGCCAAAAATTTGAAGCTGAAAAATATAAACAAAAAGGTATCTTGGAAGCCTCTAAGAGCAGTGTCGGCCTAGAAAACTAAATGCTAGATCAGTTAGATTAATAAAAGTTATTTCATCCAAAAATCCGTTTAAAACCAAAAGATAAAAGCCGAAATCGAGACAAAAGTAATTGCCAGTGTTTCTAAGAAAACTATAAGTAGAAGATTAAATGATTTGAAGTTATTTGCACGTCGCCCGAGTAAGAAGCCGCTAACCTCGAGGAAAAACCGTAAGGACCGATTACAATTTGCACGGTTGCATCTTTATTGGAGCGTCTGTGACTGGAAGAGGGTATATTTCAGTGACGAATCCAAGTTCAATATGTTTGGATCAGATGGTGTTCATTACGTTAGACGTCTTAGTGGACAAAGATTGAACCCCAAGTACGCTTTGCCCACTGTCAAACATAGAGACGGGTCTCAGTTCTCAAATGGCCTTCACAGTCTCCCGATATAAACCTCATTGAACATCTATGGGAATACTTAGATAAGCAAATACGAGATAAAAATTATTCAAACAATGATGAACTTTTTGCCACTTCAGAGCAAAAGTGGAGACAGATTAATGAATCTTACATCAAGAAACTTCTACAATCTATGCCGAGACGATGCCAGGCGGTGATTGATAATAATGGTTATACTACAAAATATTAACACAAACATGGTTGGTTTTCTATAATTCAATAAACTTTGCTTCTTTTTTTCTATAATTGTCTTGCTTTGTCTATATATTTTTGTCCTTCATAGTTCCAGTTTTTTCAATTAATTTTTTATTGAAGGGAGTCTAATGAATTTATTTATGTATAAGTGAGTATTATGCTATAACAAATTATGTATACAGGTTGGTGTATTAATAAAACAAGTTAAAAAAAGAAATACAGCACAATATTAATTTGTCTATATACTTTTGTCCATTACTGTATACAATTTTTAGATAGTCATGAGGCACAACTATTTTGTCAAAATATGTTATCGAAAATTATACGCCTGCTAAAAATACGTGCGCTCACAAATCAATAAAACATATTCAGTCTATTTTTTTAACCTGAATAAAGTCTATGGTCTGGTAGGTACTGTAAAGATACCAGTCAATCAATGAAGAATTTAAAATATCCATACGATTTCATTCGACTTCTAAGTGAAACGCTCCTCGAATCTAGGTTAGTATTGTATGACTACGAATCACAAACGGTTAGTCCACAGAGCGCGTCGCAAGTACTTTAGCTTCGGCTGATTAGGTCTGAAGATGGTGTGATTGAGTTATGTCGAGGTAGCCATCTTATGGAAGATACCGTGCTGTCACAAAAATATATCAGAATTTTGCTACGACTACACTCATGGCACGATCAAACACATAGAGTTCTTTTTTGAGGTTTAGATTTTGCTCAAGTCAAAGCTGAGATTTTATTCTGAAACATAATTTTACCTTTTGGTTAATTTAAACTTAGACCCCACATATTATTTCATATGAGGCCACCTAACGTAATTCATACTACTCCAGTGGGAATATGGAAGGCTTGTTAAACCGGAAAATTGTGCTGAATATGAATGAATAAAAAGCGATCGTAGTCTTTTAGACAGGTTAAACATATTGTAGATGTAGTCTATTCTATTACCAATTAAAGTTTTTTCGTTTGCAATATTCAAAAACCACCAGACATGAATTAACAAATTACTTGATAATATTAAAGTCAATTCAATTCAACCAGAAGACTCGATTTTACATTTTCTTAGATGAGCAAGGTATAAACATCAAAACGAACTATCAAATTAAATAGCTAAACTGCACAAAGATCAAAAAACAAAACTGATGAGAATGAAGCTGTTGGAGTATGAAACAATCATGCGCAATAAAAAGTAAATTGACGGAAGTTCTGGCAATAAAAGAAGTGCAATGGAAAGATAACTGTAAGCATCCATGTATTACTTGATATAAAGTAAATATGTATACACAATATGAATCATAATACAAGCTTTGATTTTTTAATGTGAGCGCTGGTGAAATGATATGAGATGAAACTGATGTATATCTCTTTGTAGAATTAAATAATCTTTAACAATGAAACAACGATAATAAACTGGCACATACATACTAATACTATACAGAATGTTTATAAATAATATGTCTTTGGTGATTACTAGCCTTCAAGAAACAAATATGAGATAGAATTTGAAGTGATTTTGAGCGATTCGTACAGAGAGGATTCTTTAACAGGATGCGAATTTCGGTGAGCATCCAATTTTAAAAATTCTTGAGAGTATATTCTGTAGTATGTATTTTTATGCATAGTAGTTATAGCTCATTCTATAAGCAAATCTCAATGTGCATTTAGCAATTATCTCTGGACAAAAAATATCCAAAAACATTCTGTATAGCACAATTATAACCACAATATGAAATATGGCTATGCACTTAAAATTTCTGAAATACTTACGAATTTTTTGGTTCACCCCTATACAACTCCGTGTCAGTTTGTTTGATTTCACTTTCTCTCACTATGTCTGTCAGCGATTTGAATACTGTACTATGAATCCTGAAACAAATCACATTGTGCATATATGAACAGCAGTCTATTTAATGACAGAAAATCACATTTGACAGCTGCCTGGAAACCAGACAGGATTATTACATACTAGCCCGGTTCGCACAGCTGTCAGTGATCGAGTCCAAGATACATCCGCACAAATTCCGTTCATTCTGCTATGCTATTTAGTCGGAATTCACACAGCCGAATCCCAGACAAAGTCGCCGACAAGTCAACGATCGCTATACGAACAAACAAACATACCACACAGAGATAGTGAGTTTGGATCTGACTGGCAGCTTTTGTCGTCACTCTACGAGGGGGTACCCAAAAAAAAAACAGAATTATTTTTTAGAAGCTATTTATTTTCAACTTTTTCACAAAGTAACCTTATCTCCTTCAAAATACTGTCCACTACAACGAATACACTTGTCCCACCGGTGCTTCCACTGCGGGCAGTTGATGGACGTCCAGAGCGAGGTTTGTCATCAATCGACATGTCGCCATTTTTAAATCGAGCAGACCATTCGTACACCTGAGTTTTTCCCATAGCATCACCTTTGTAAACTATTTTGAACATTAAAACAGTTTCAACGGCATTTTTACCAATTAGAAAGCAAAATTTCACAGCTGCACGTTGCTCACTGAAGCTTGCCATCGTAAAAAACGAAACAAGCACGAAGCAGCTCTAGCAAAAGTAATGACTACTTAGGAACGAAACCAGCCTGATCGACAACTCAGGTGGCACTGAACTGGTAATGAGTTGCACTGTACGCCTCTAGTTGCAGAACTGTGTACTACACAAGCACCTGCAATGCTATTCCGGTTATTTTTGGGTACCTCCTCGTATAGTATAATAGTAAAATAAAACTTGGATCATCGGTTTGTTCGACAATAAACAACACTGCATTAGCATGCTAAGATTTTGCTAGTCATATTGTTAGTATTTAATAATCAAAGATATAAATTAAAATCCATCATTTATGGAAAATGTGAGGTACTTACACTTTGATGGTAAAATCAGGTAACAACGTGAACACGGGGACAACGACCAGTCCTAACCAGAAAACGGCGGTTGTAAACAACATGGCGTACATACCAACCATTAATGATCCAACTGGAGTTGCAGGCCAAAAGAAACTAAAACAATATACAGATACAATATAAGAAAAAAAAAGTTTCAAACGAAAGTCTTAGGGTTTTAAGAGCAAAGCCAAGGCAGAACTGTAGAGCAGTATGTCTATTAAAGTCTTAGATTGTTATTAGGTCTCTTATTGGATACTATGTAGAATGAACAAATATCCTTACCTGTAGACGAATATAAAGACGAACCACAATTTGATGGAACCGAAAATGGCGCAATGCGTGAACCAAGTCCATGAATTTGTTGATAGGCCAGCTTTCAGACACACCGTTACTACACAATACTGAAAATAAGATAGAAAGTTGAAAACATTAAAGTTGAATCAATAGTTTTCAACAATATGGAGCTTTGCAATAAATAATACTTTTATTATTGGGGTATAAACATTACAATAATAAAACGTTTATTATTCAACAGTGAGTACCATTTAAAGAGCAAAAAACAGTAGTATGGAATGAAAAGATCTTCGAACAAAAAATGAAATAGAAGTACCTTAAATATAAACATGAAACACTTGACCATAATCCATCAGCGATGGGCTCGATATTAATTCTTTAATTCGCAAAAATTGCAGTGAAAAATATAACATATCACTGATTGTATTATACCTGAAGAAGCCAAACTGATACTGTATTTTAGCATCCAAACAAATAACCGATATTTAAGGAAATGCCATGGTGTCATGTATGAGGATATGTGAGGAGAAATAGAGCTGTGAGAAATCCTCATAAATGGTCTCTCGTTTCATCAAGGATAGTTTTTTGGACAATGGAATACAGTACTAGATTGCCTATCTTCAGGAAGGACATGTTAATTAATGAAAATATTATACACAGTCGAAAATCAGTGTAACATAAAAATCGAAACTTACTGTATATACACAGTTTCCTAAAACGAGGAATCCTCCATCCCCTCCAAAGGACCACAACACGTTGTGTTCACATGCCCACATGGGTATCCAGAACAAAAGAGCAGAATGGATCATACCATTTACTATCCATATCCAGAATACCTGAAATTAATTCAAATAGGAAACGTCATTGGAAATATTTACATCTAAAGCATTGTCTGCCCACATTTTCTCTCTACTTGTGGCCTTACTAGGTGTACTGATAAGTCTAAGTTATAGATGAAACATGCTCTGTTCGATAGTTTAGTTACCAAAAAAGATAAATATTATAATTACCTTTATGTTAAAGAGTGCGCCACTTTGTGATGGCTTGTACAATTTTGGATACGTCATCATGTTTTCTGCCCCACACGGTTTGTCAAATAGACCCATCACTAAAGGCGGTAGGGCAGTAAATATTACATTATAAAGACCTACAACAAAGATGATTAGTTAAAACAATCAACAATTTATTGAATTATTCTCATGGTATATGTAATGGAGTCTAAAATAACTAAACAATGATAGGATTTCTCATTAACATATGTCCGTAGCTTAACTGTATGTCACATACCTATTGACCACTGTTCAAACAGGATTTGTCCTGACCACCCTGAATAAATGGCGAACCACAGTTCTATCACATATAGGCATATGTTTTTGTAAAAACTGTACAAGATTAACTTGCACATACGTGAATAATTCCATGCTCCATGGACAAAAAGAAGTCTCATTAAAAATCTGGAAATATAAAATACAATATAACTGTGAGGTGACAACAAGGCTCGCATTTTGTTATAAAGGAATATGCATGTCGTTGTCTTTCTGACCAATATCGTTATCTCTGCTTAATAAATGAAACAAGGAAGGTTTTTGAAGTTTTGACTGCCACTGCGAATATTCTGTGTTTATAACAAATGATGACAAACGAATGCAACCAAACAGGAACAAGATACTGAAACAGGACAAAATACTGCTAGCAGATAATGGGAATGTCAGAGTCATCAAGGATACTACGCAGAAAAATTGACGAAGTAATGAGAAAACCAAATTACAAGCGACTGCCAAAGGATCCAACACAGAAAATTGAAAGACAAATCACTCAAACGTTAAAAAGGTGCTCAACAGAAAAATGGCAGAAGAATGATGACACCACATTTCAGCAAGCTACCACACCTTTACGGCTTAGCAAATATTCACAAAGAAGATATACCACTTCAACCTATAGCCAGCTCAAGAGGATCTCCGACATACAACTTGACTAAATATCTACAGTTCATAATACAGCCATTGGAAGGGAAAACATCATCACACGATAAGGACTCCGACCACTTCTTAGAAATTTTCCAAACTATAAACGTTGACACAGAAGACCGTTTTGACAGCTTCGGCCTCGAAAGACTATACGCCAACGTTCCGGTTGAAGAAGCTCTACAAATAATCCAGACGAAGCTTAGAGAAGATCAGGAGTTGAAAGAGAAGACAAGCCTACTGGTGGAAGGAATAATAGAACTACTCACATTCTGCCTAAGAAACAACTATTTTCATGTAAGAGAAGAATTTTACATCAATGGGATCATCGCTTTCACCAGTAGTAGCCAACTTATACTCGTACATGGAGTGACTTGAGTCCATCGCCATTGAAAACTTCGATATTAAACTGCAGATTCGGCTTCGATATATGGTCGTCAATTTCGTAATCTGGAACCATGGAGAAACAAACTAAGGACATCGATAAACTTTAGAGAATAGGAGAACAACAACAGTCTCAATCTTGGATGGCATGGCAACAAAGAGCAATTCCAAAATAGAAACTAGTGTATACAGAAAACCGACACATACAGAACAACACCTAAATTTCTGTTCCAGTGATCCAACAACCACGAAAAACGGCATAATTAGAACCCTTAGAGATCGGGCAAAGAGTATGTGCAACACGCAAACAAATCTCCAGGAAGAAATCAACTACATCAAAGAACATCTAATAAGAAACGGCTATCCAAGACGAATGATAAGTGAAGTTCTGAAAGAAAACAACACCATATGTTGAAGGAACATGTAATGCAATTAGAAGAATAGGGAGACAATACCAAATCGAAACTAGATTTTCAAGGAACACCATACTTCGCACTATCCTCACGAAGACAAAACCTATGAACAAAAAAAAAAACCAAATCACCAAGGGTTGTGCATACCAGGTATCATGTGAATGCAGAGAGATATACATAGGAGACACAAAAAGACCACTCTCAGTAAGAATAAAAGAGCATAAATTCAAGACGGAACGGGAAGAAACAAATAAATCTGGAATAGCATATCATGCTAGGACAAAACACCACAGAATACTTTGGGATTATGCTAAGATCTTACACAAAGAAACAATCTGGTATTGTCGTAAATTCAAGAGAGTGTTCTTCATAATAATGAATGAAAATGCTTACAGTAATACAAGTGCTGAAATTAAAATGGCAACACATTATAAGAAACATCAAACTACTACGAACGAGGGACATATCACAACCGACCACCAGCCACGCAATCGAACGGTGTAAATTGCCAAGAAAGGAAAGGAGAGAACGTCGTGAAACAAAAAACTTTATAGACAATGGAATACAGAGACATAACATCTCGATCATCCACATTGCCATAAAATTTAAAACAACAGATCACATCTCTCTTTTAGTTCATCTTATTGCCGGTGAGTCGCGTTAATAGCAGTTGTCATAGAAACTTACCTAAACTGCGCTATGCTGTAATCAGAGGCGCAAGCCGCCTGCAGACCCTCTACCCCAGAGATACCAACCCCCACATGCGCTTTTTGGATCATGGCGACGTCGTTCGCCCCGTCGCCGATCGCCAAAGTCACTGTTTTGGTGTGCTTTGTCACGTGTTCCACTACTTCGGCTTTTTGCATTGGGGACACCCTGCAGCATATCACTACCTGAAAATATGTATAAAAGATGTAAGCCATGGCTTGGCAGGAGTCTAAAATATTCAAAATTTTAAATTGCAATTACTAATACCACACACAAGGCTTCTCTTTCGTGTCAGTGCTTTAATTTGTCATTGTTGCGCCTGTACTGGCAACAAATTAGAGCAATCTGTATTTTTTGGCAACAAAAATATTATTATTAATCGGTAGAGTACTAAAACTCCAAAAACACTTTTATTTCAACAACATTCCTACCTTGCACGATAGGCAGAGTCTCATGAAATCTGTCCTTAGCTCACATGACAAAGCATACTTTAAAGTTTTACCATCGATGATAAGAGCCACTTCGTTTTGTTTTCCAAGGTTATCTCCCATTTCGTCACAATGTCGCAAAATTGATTCTCTGGCTTTCTGAAATTTAATACACAGGCCGTAATTACAAGGACGCATTCCTAAACCAAATTCAAGTAGAAAAGTTACTATAAACGTTCGTCAAAGTCACTCGATAAAAAAGCATAGAGGAAAGAGGTGGTTATTTCCAACATTATCTTTTGTTCGTGTTGTAAAAACGACTCCGAAACTCGACGCCTGGAGTACCAGAGGTTTTGGGACAGGGTTGCCTGTTGGGGGATTTACCACCAAATTTAGATTTTTACTTGGTGAAGTTTTTGGGGATTTGAACCAAACCAACCCCTTTCTATCAATTAACCGTGATTTGGGGGATTTTTTTGTGAAAAATTAGCAATTCTGAGGGATTTTTGTGCTTGTTCTGGGGAAATTCTGCCATATGAACACTTTCCTTAGCCTAAGATCCGGTCGCTTGAATCTGCAGGTATCTGTTTTTTTTCTGACAGTGATTAGCAGTTAATGATAAGTTGCATCCGCAAAAATTATGGTACCTTGTAGTTAGGATGATGTGCAGAAAACATATTGGAAGCAATAGCAAACGTTCCAGATCAAACAAGCTGTACCATTAACTGAACTTTACGTATAGCGGATTGTCACCACACTATGCTGATAGACGAAAAATACCACTATTTGAAAACGTTGCGATGTTGCAAGTGCAATTGATGAAGTGCATTCGTCGATTCTAATTTATAGCTCTCGATAGATTAACTCTGCTAAATCTTACATCCAATCCGTCTTCATTGAGAATAAGAAGCTGCATGCCATGTACCAACAGCCTACACGAATACCCGATGTTAATGGCGGTCTCTTGCTTGTCACCTGTCAACACCCAAACGTTAATGTCTGCCTCTAATAGCGCTGCTATCGTTTCCGGAACACCTTCTTGTAGCTTGTCTTCGATAGCGGTTGCACCGATCAGTTTTAGCTTACGTTCTATCAAGTTGGCAGCCTCTTCCAGTTTCTCTGTAAGAATTTGAGCATAAATATAAGAAGCAAAATACTTTCTATCTAACCAATAAATGACCATGAGAGTTATATAATTGAACAGTGGCAGCGCTGTTTGGAGCCTAGTTGAACCAACGAATGTCATGACATTACTCATATTTTTATATGTAATCTTATTTTCATTTAAAGATTTTCCTATAAACATATATTTTCTTTTATTACTCTCCATTTAAGTTTATTCACATTTAACTAATTAATAATGTCGTTCATATCGTTATTCAAGCTGTATTGCAGTCGCTAAGTTTCTATTCTATTATTGATTTATTCACTTGCACCTAGTGCAACACTTTTTTTAATAATTATCCCAAAGGAGTCCACAATGGCACAGTAGAAAGCACTACTCTGAACACAGACCTCAAAAAGCTTGCAAATAGAGCACACGCGCATACCAGTGGAAAACAATATACACTACAAGTTCTTTTTGAAACACCAGACAGGTAAAGTATAACTTTGATTCTATACTGCATTTTTTCTGCCTCCTACAGTTTCATATTGCAAAGGGATAATATACTCATAGGTCTACGTTAACATGTAACTAGTAACGAATCTAATCATTATAATGTTACCTTCTCGATGTTGTAATGAAATAGAAGCTTTTTCATAAAGCTGCTTCCATTCTTCGTAGTCAGCTGGTTTCAATTCCGTAACAGCGCAACATAAAGTTCTTAGACCCGAAGCAGCAAAGCTTTCCAACCGTTGCAATAGTAGTTCTCTGTATTCTTTATCCCTGCTGGAACTGTTATCTAACCTTTCATATATGACATTGTCGGCGCCTTTACAGTACAATTTTATTTTTCCAGAAGGAGTTCTGCAACAAAACCATATTGTTCATTAGTTTTCCTACATGAAGCTAGATACAAGATTTTTTTAGCGATTAGATTAAAAAATTGCGCTGGAAAAAATAATATATCCTGTATGTAATCGTTTAGAGCAATTTATTAGTATTTTGTCATTTTGTTTAAATACCTCATTGGTTTTCATTGCTCGTCGATTATAAAATGAGTGAAATGTAAAGAATGCAGTACTCACTGTTGTGACTAAAAACATTTTCGGTAAAACAAAAAATACGATTGTTACTGGCGATACAATACAAGGGGTCGATGGTTGAGGACACAATAAGCGACATCTTCCAATGATACCCAGATAAGTTAACATATACATGTTGAACCATTTATTAACTTATTCTACCCTGAAGATATTCAACCTAATGCTATATTCACGCGTCCGAAAAATTATCCGTTCTACGCAATAACTAGAAATCTACTTTGAAATTGTTAGTGACTCATAGAATGCGCAGTAGCTATTATGCTCATATATAGACGACTACCGGGCTATCTGTATAATTATTGCGGAGAAGAGAAGTATAGCTGTCACAAATTCTCATAGATGACGCTACGGTATCTCATTTCATCTCGGATAATTTTTCGAACGCGCGAGTATATTATTACGAGGTCTGTAAATAATTTTATATTGTCACCTTCAAAATAACTTCCTTCTGAAGCTTCTCGGCGATGGAGACGACTCTTCCGCTCCTTATAGCAAAGCTGAAACTCCGACACTGGAATAGCATTCAGCTGGTCAGTTACAGACGTTTGAATGTTTTCGAATGTCCCAAAATGAGTTCGTTTGATTGTGATTTTTCATCTTCGGGAAGATAAAAAAGTCACAAGGACTCAAGTAAAGCGAATAAGCAGGCTGATGAGCCACAGGAATGTTTTTACTGGCCAAAATCTCATTTATTGACATTGCTGTGTGACAAAGAGCATTATCGTGTGTACACCCAGTTATGCTTGATCTGATGAACGGTGGTGTGAGTCAAATTTTTCTTCCATGATTATTCTGATGCACAAGATCCCGGAGTCTGTCGATATTTTCATCGGTTCTTGAAGATAAATGTCTTCCGCTTCGTGGTTCATCTTCAATCTACTATCTCCCTCTTGAAAATGCCTTAATCACCGAAAAATCTGGGCTCTTGTCAAAACACTATGTTCGTAGGCCTGTTTAGCAAGAATTTTCGTTGCACTGTGCAAAAGTCAGAAGTAAAACCGATAGCACAACTTGCTTGAAATTGATGTCACAAAATAGAAAAAAAACTGTTACGGACAACCAAATGACTCGAGCGAGTTCAAACTTATACTGAAGGCGGATCACATGTTCCCCTGTCTCCCCTCCAAGCCTGGCGCCTCCAGTGTTGCCAGATTGAACGCTACGTTGCCAGCCTCATCACTTAATTTACAGATCTCGTATTTTAATCAATGCTTAAACTAAGTTCGAAATGGGCTGACACTTTAACAGTTTTTCTGATTATATTATTTTTTCACCTGACAATGACAGACATCCTTTTCCTCGCTGAAGTGAACTCGAGCACATTTAGGATCTCATATCTTTCCTTCAGTCCGAGAGCGGAGATCTCAACGTAGAGGGGGGTCCTGCAGACGAACTCGTATCCAAACCTGCTAGCCCCGTACACTAGCGCCCTCTCGTCGGGCGATGCAGCGTGGTATACTATGGACCCGTCGGGTGAGATTTCTGGTATCACCGTGTGACAGACTGACAGGACGATCATCATCTCGCGGATTAGTTCGGCGTTTTTGTGGTCTTCACGTATGTGCTGCGACAAAAAAACGGGTTATTTAATTCGCTTAGATTTCTACCATCCTTTGTAGAACCCCAAACGATATAATTTCTACAAGTAATTTACTGTAGTTGACTACTTATCGTGGCAGATACTTGACATTCATAAATCTAAGATTTTACCAAATGCCTTGAAAAAACTTGACGGGAACTAGGTGCTTCACGGCAAGGGCAAAGATTTTATTGCGATATTCTGCTCAGGATATCAGTATACATACTCATAACCTCTTCTTCTTAATAATTACTAGAAGATCGTAACGATTTAATCAGCAGCACAAATTACTCTCTAGCGATATGACCAATTTTATGCATGTTAGTCAAGTTTCACCAAAAATATTATTTTCTGTACGTCACTACCCACAACAGGATAATATAACTACATATCGAATGTTAAAAATAATGACAGCGATGTCCAATTTTGCTCCCGCTAGGCGGCGCTAGGGTGGCTTGAGGCCAAACTGTTAAAAGTAGATGGGAAAAAGATTATTCACGAAAATCATTGCGTTTTGACGATGAACAGCTGATTAGTAATTGACATCCTTGTTTATAACCTTAGACCCCATTCTAACTGGCATCTACTTCTAGCTTATTAGATTACCCACTGGGATAGAAACTCCTGCACCGGTCACGGTGGCCCACCGTTACTCAAAAATCGCGTTTTTAAATCACTTATATCAAAAAGTAACGGTATCACATTTCACAGATACTCAATAATAACGATACTGGACATCTCTATCTACAATATTTTGTGAACTCGCTTGACAATATTATTGAAAATAGTTCATCAAATGAAAAACTAAGAAAAACGACTCGGTTGTGGGCGAATATCTCCTGAATGCTAGTACTGAAGAAAACAGGCTTCATTTAATGTATACTTTACCTGCACCAATTTAGACTCCGTCAGATTTCCTTCCACAGTATAAACCTCGTCACCAATAGCACATTTCTTGAATTCCATAATATTTCTGGTCAGCGTCCCTGTTTTATCTGAAAATATGTATTTGACCTGACCTAACTCTTCGTTCAAGTTTGAAGTTCTGGCACACGCTGGCGTATCAGTCTCTTCGTAGTACATTTCTCGATCCATATTTATGAAAATTGCCTGAAAACAACATATAATAATGTTTATAGTTTAAGATACTTCTGTTAACTAACAATCGTAGAATTCAGTAAAATGCTTTTGTAAATTCGATGGATTCTGAAAAAATAATAATAGCAATTATAAGATAAATATCATTACTAACCTGTATAAACCGGACTACTTCTAGCGTCACTTGCAACGATATTGGTATCAAATTGTTAAAGAGAATTAAAAATGTTAATATTGTGAATATGAAGTTAAGAGCACCACCTAAAAAGATAAAAGTTGTATATAGAGACAGGATGTACAATACATAAGTGATTTCGAAAAATTATGTATGAAGTTGGGACTTTAGCCAGCGTTCAATTCTTGTAAAAATCAGTAAATTTTAATAAAAAATACACCAAAATCTCAAAATAACCGAATTAATAATGATGGAGTCTATTGAGTGTCTTCAAGATGATGCTGATGCTTCGCGAGTGCATTCAGATGGTTTTCCCGGATGTTTCGATACCGCGCCGCGTAGGGTTGTTTATATCGTACAACAACGTTATTTGGGCACAGTAAAACACCTAGACATGTAACATGTGAAAGGGGGTGCTTGTAATTTTTCGTCACCCAAACAGTGATTTACTTATTTTTATTTTTACTTTTTCGCTGCTATTTCATTGTGCATCAGCTTTGTAATTTTAACATAGTTGTTTCTGAAAAGAAAAGTACCAACTTCTAATTTACGAAAAAACTTCATGCAATCATATATGTTCTAAATTCCTTCATTTTTTAGTAGACGTATTAACAGAAAATCGTTGAATTAAAAACTCTTAATTTCTGCTAGATATTTTAAATACATTGCAAATGAATGCCATGCACGTTCTTACCTTCTAATCCCAAATACCAATCGGTCTCAGTATGGATGTTGGTCCACAGGATGTTGAATATCGAACAAATCAGGCACATGACGAACAAGACTCCGAATAGTAGCAAAATCTGTATGTTAGTCAGTTTGTCCACCGAGGATCTTTTCAGGGGCGCTTTAGTCGTGTTTTGCATCAGCTTGGTGTCCTGACCAATGTATACCGTGACTCCGAATACCCACGATGTGTTACGCAGGATAGCACCTCGAAGCAGCAGCTGATCAGGACCTAATGGCTCGGGGCTGTGAAATGTGTTCTATACTCAGTGACAAATTTTGAAGTGAAGACATTGAATATAGCTGGATTTCTCTTTAGATTAATGTGTTAGCAATAGGATCGAATATTATTTTGTTGGAAGATAGGGACGTCAAACAATACCTATTACATGTGGTGCATGTGCTGTTAAACTTATGTCGTTCTCCTAGTCGACGTCTGACTCGTGTTATGCATTTATAAGCCTAAGAAACATTCATAATTCAGATTTCCTCAGTCTCGGTGTTTCCACAAGATAATGTCCGTCTCCATATTGCTAGAGCTTAGAGCTACACTGAGCTGCTTTAATTGCGCTCAAGTTAGCTTCCTTCCTTGCGCTCCTAGACTTACAGACCGTTCGTCCTTTGAACATTTGTGAGATATTGACAAGAAACCTAGCAGCTCTTCGGAACCACATACTGCTAGCTTCGTATAATATATCTGAAGAAGACATAAGTCACCTAAGCAGCTTGCTCCGAAAACTGGAAAAATGAATAGAGTATCGGTCCCAACATATCAGAGAGATCCAGCTATATAGCAAAGGTTCCAACTTCAAAATTTAATCACACATACTTCATCTTACTTATGTCTTATATATTTCAGACAAATTAAATCATTTTTACTGGGTGTTCTACTTTCTTTATCACTGAGTATAGTAGTATTATTATCAAATCCAAAACAATCTTTCTTTGCAAAGAACAATTGATACATACTGAACACAAAAATACCACACATTCCTATAAAAAATGGCCTACTGGACTCTCCTACAGAATTACAGGCTTCCAAAGCACGCTGCTGGGAATCTGTCTAATTTTGAAAATACTGCAAGCAAGTGGGACTTCATATGATGGTGTCCATGGAAAACATGGACGCACGATCGCTAACGCAACAATGCAGATCTTTACATCTGATAGCTCAAAAATAATATTTTTAGGACCTTTTAGCTGTACGAAGACGTATTCATGTTGATCCATATATGAAAAAGAGTTTTGTTAACGTTGTAATGTTTAACTTAAATCTTTGTTTAGATTAAATTGTACTACTTGAAATACTGTTCCTATTGAATTATACTGCACATGATCCTCAAAAAAGTCGACGAAAATTCAAAGCTTTATTGAAATACGGAGCGTTATAATGCCTGGATTTTTTTTCGAGCAGGTGGTTACGAAAATTACTATATTTTCAAAATGGTGAAACTAATACACTCAATCTAGTACCGAAATTGATACAAATGTATCAGAGGAATTTGTTATAAAATACCGAAATTGCAAAACATTTCAAAGAAACGTGAAAGGATGTAAACATCTTTCGATAAAGACCTCTCCAACATGACAGCGGGTAAACTCTGCAATGTCGAGCTATCTGAGTTCCCTCCTAGATACAGAATAATGAACATGGAAGAAAATAACCAGAATTTGTAAGCTTTCAAAATGTGCGTAAAACACCAAGTTATTATTCCAAATTCGATATCTTCTGCATCCCCACCATTGAGTCAAATCCTATAGCATAGTTTGACATCAATAATAGATATGGATATTTTCATGTTATCAAATCACTTACCCCGTCGCACGTTTCAACCTCATAACACCAGTGAACTCATAGAGCAGTTTGTTCGGTGCTTCACACTCTATGGTCCCATTCATACTGATCAGTCCATGTATAGTAGTGGTAAGTGATGTGCTTGGTAAGGCCTGTCGAATTTTCAAATTTGTTTCGCCGTCAAGATTTGAAGTTTCTATAAAACACATTCCCTGAGGTTCACTGAAACGTAAGTTTTTTGTTTTAAAACTGCAAGCCTGTATTACTTTAACAATAGTGGGACGTGACATACATTGTGTTCCATCATGAAATGGATATAGCGAAATTGTAGGTAGCATGGACCAACCAATTCAGACTAGGTAGAAGGAGCCAGTCAAGGATTTGTTTCTCTACTAATTCTCATAGTCTGTTATTTGAAAAGTGCGAGTGTTTACAGATTATTGTGGTGCTTGACGATTTCAAGACGTGCTTGCTACTTTCTACATAATTTGCAAAGAGCAGCACAAGCCTGATAAAGATTAGATGTTTCCACCAGTAAGTATTATTATATATATTGATGCAATGCTATCACTTTGGTAGGCATTGGTAGAGAAATGATTCAAAAGTATGCACTGAAACTAGGCAATTTTGGTGACAAATAATACAATGTTAACTCATAGGATGGCTCCTTCTAATCTATCGAATTAGTTGGTATGGACTGACCCCTTTTTATATCTGAAGTTAAATAAGTTCTAAATTCATTTTTACGGATACAAAGGGTGATTTATCTAAACACGCCAAATATTTATTTCACGATTTTAATGAAATTTTGCACAATAACAAAGTTACCTTGGAATAGTGTAAGTCTAGACGAACAATTAAAAAATCCGGGGGAGGACTCGATTTTGTAATTTTTTGTATTATATCAAAATCAACACCTTTGAAGCTAAACACTGATTATGTACAAAACTTCAATGAATAGTGTTTATTAGTTAGCAAAATAGACTGATTGAGGCTCTTTTTGTTTTTTAGTTAAACGTTTTTATTTATTCTAATATCTTGTTTTTATCAGTTTAGGTGGCAAAAAACTTAGAATTTCAAATGTTATCAACATATTACAAAACAATGCTTAGCACTGAACTAAAGACGTTTTGAAAACTCTAAATTTAAGGGCCGGATTTATTGTATCTCTTTTCTTTCATTTCTAACAATGATGAAACAACGCGCACAAAAAGCGAGAAGAGTCAATAATTTTGTCAATATTGCCTGGATGTATAACCGTAACTTTGTAATTTACGATTTGCTATTCCGACTAATTTTTTGATATCAATGCAATATCGATGTTTTGCCTCAAAAACTATAACCTTAGTGTTTTCACTTTTTATCTAAAAACGAGAATGTTCAAACATACAAGACCGCGCCAAATCTATGACGTTATATGTTCTCCCACGTCCTCTACTTAGAATGTGACCCTACTTCTTTATTCTCTGGCGTTGGTATCCCGAATTAAAATCGAATGCTATTGACTGATTCCACTGAGCGTGAAATACATAGGACTTAAATCAGTTTACTTCCAACGTATGATTTTCAAATATGTTTTTAAAACACACAAGTAAAAAACTAGAATTAGCTTGTCCATTCTTAAAAAATGTTTGCTAATTAAAATACAATTTTGTTTAGGTCGAAAGGTGTCATTCAAAGGATGTATTTTAATACACACAAAGATGTTCTATTAGAACTGCTATACTCTTATAAGGAAAGGTTATCAGTAAAACAGTAAAATAATTACATAATAAATAATACAAAAATGGCGTCAAGTCGGTTGACTCTGCACTTCTTATGCAACGCTGTGTTATCAGTTCATAAGTTGGCTCCTCTGAGAAAAAAAGTTCAGTGCAATGCGACACCGCTGATCCGCTGTCTCAGGCACTATCATTAGCCATCTTTGTATTTATGATTCTGGAAATATATACTTACCTTGACGATATCAGCACTAGGTCCGCCGGAAAAAACGAATTATTCTGGACTTTGACAATGTCTCCCACCCCCACATCCACCCACTTCGTACTGACCCATTTGTCATTTTTAAGTACGTCCACTTTTCTCTTGTTGATCTCATTGTCCGCACGATGTCTTTTCTGAAAATATTATTTTGCTAATCACAAACGACAACTAGACGTAGATGTGCAACAACGGGTTCATGCTATAAAAAATGAGATGTTACATGTTTGTGACTTTAAGCCCCTCGTCGACTAGTTCAAGTGAACTATTATTATTTGCATTACTTGGGCAATTCTCGGGTAGGAAACGATGTCCATAGGTGGGGCTGCTAATTTTAGAACTCATGCAACACGCACCCTGGGAGCAAAGATTGTGTTTAAAGGTTTCTTGACAGATTTTTCAAAGCATCTGCAGTTACTCTCATTTCCTATCACATTTCTGAGAGTGTTTTAGCCACTTTCCACTTGTGATGATTGAAGAGAGTGACAGGAATACGGAAACGCCTCATTTAAAAACGAATAGACATAGAAATGGGAGCGTTCGATGGTAAACTCTGGGTCTTTTTGGGCCAACGTGCTTCTGTGCCCCCGACTTCCTGAATCCGCAGTTTTATCTCAGGCATAACTGGTTTCATTTCACTTTTTCCAAGCTCAAATATCCGTCAATATTTCAACTTTCAAACTGGAAACTTTGTTTAACTCTGCTGCATACCTTTCGCTTCAAGTGATAGGTACTTTCGAGCATCGCAATGTCTATAATTTTTTTCTACTTTGAAATGACGTACATAACATTTTTGAACCTTCTTACAAGATCTTCAACAAGTTTTTTTACAATTAATTATTAACAATAAAATAATGAGATCAATGGCTACATCTTGGCAGGTCATCGTTTTTGTACTTGAGGTTTGGGATCGAATTTTTATACATTCTCGACACTGTACTTGACCATGTTTCTGTGAAGTTTGAACGGAGTATATCATTTAGTTTAATTGCTTCTAATATTGATATTTTTAATTCCTCTTAAATTACTTGAGTGATTTAGATGGAAATTTGTGAATCGGCGGTACGTATTAAGGAACTTTGTACTGATTATACCGCTACCAAATTTTAATAGAGTATTTGTAATTTCAGCTAAGCAAATCAATGGTTACTTTGTGGGTATAATTAAGAGATTTTAAGACGGACAAAAAATTCCGCTTGCCTGTTGATTAGAGATTATGCAGCTACTAAAATCATTTTGGTACCCATGATTACATGAACTTTTCGTCACCCTGTATGTAAAATTTGGAGTTTGCCTTATAATTTTTTGTATTGTATTTTTTAGCTTTATAATTACTATAAATTGTTATAATGGAGCATGTCACATTTTAATGGGTGGACTTTTTATTTAAGCTTTTAACAATACAAGCAAAACGGTTTCACCTCAAAATTTTCCTTTCAATGTAGATAGGAAATACTAGAATAAATTTTCATGCTATGAACGGTGCAGTGTATTCTTTCGGACGAATATCACTAGAAAAGGTTACTTACGATGTCCTCTATCATTTCTTTGATAGCAGATACGGAAAGAATGAAAACAAGAGGCACTAGAGTGGTGTATCGTCCAGTCGGAGAGACGTCCGGTATCTGTTGCAACAGGGCGATGATCAGGAAGAATATGTTTGCCCATCTTCTGAACTGTTCGAAAAGGAAGAACGGTAGGAACTTCCATATTCTGAAAATATCGAGAGAACTTTCAATCTTGCACGTAGTCAAATGAATTCGTATGAATTAGAATAATTTTCGAATCCATAAAAACTCATAATCCAAGATCCCTGGCCTGACAGACATCACTTATTTTCTGAAAGACAATACGTGCTAAGTTATATATATATATATATAAGTATAATTTTTGTAGGAAACTTTTTTTCTATAATACCATACCAACAAGTTAAAGAGCAGGTTAGTTTATACCGTGTTTAAAGCATCTAGGAGAAGTTATGGTCGATGGAACTATGTATAAAAATCACTCATAAGAGTTTAAGTTCACTTAGTCTTATGTTTACCTAACCTATCATCACTTTTACGAGTAAATCGGACCTCTACCCAACACATAAACGCTATTCAATGTTCCATGTTTTGTCTTTAAGAAAATAGGTAATGTCTGACAGCCATCGGATCTTAACTCTTTCATCGCACTGATCGCACCAAACGTATCAGGTTTTGGTAGTACGCCAGGAAATAGGTAATTTCTTCCTACAATTTTAGCGACAGTACTTTTTTTAGTGACATCGATGGATTATTGCTTTGTAATGATAATTTCAGGACTGGAGTATTTGTCGCCATGTTGAAAAGGGTGTTTGATCGAAAATCTCGAACACCATCGATTATAATTATTTAAAAAAGTAAAAGAAACAATTTTGTAGGGGATTAAATTCTTCATCATTTTGCTTCTATGAAAATTTGTCTATAGTTATTAGGTTACGAGGCATTTAAGGGTTAATTCACATGTAATATTTTTGCTTATAATAGTTAAACTAACAACCTAGGCCGTGCTGTCGCCAACTTGTCAGTGATCGTGTCCAAGATTCCGCCACACAAATTGCGTTCATTCTGCTACGGCATATAGGCGGAATTCACACGGCCGGATCCCAGACACAGTCACCGACAAGTCACCGACCACTGTACAAACAAACCTCTTAGCGTAAATTTTCTACAGGTATTTTACATGACGAGTCCTTGATGATTCTTCAAGTATAAGGAGCGAAACTGAAAAATTCGTATCAAGACAGTCGAGCGACATACTCCGTATTCTACGAATGTTTTACACGTGTTAGCATACAAAATGTTTTCACATAGGGAAAACTCCATAAGTTATTATCTATGATTAAGAATACCATTTTAAAGTGAACCGATGTTTTTAATACGACGTGTAAGTATGGAAAATTTTATATTTTCGAATATTTTGTCTTCACCATGAAAATGTAATGTACTCACGTGTATTTTGCTGTATGTATCCTATTACTGTTGTGTTTATGTACATTCAATAATGGTTTATTTATATATACTACGCGGTCATCAAAATTGTGTTTCGGGTCGAATGATGATTCTGTTTGTCTTGTGGATGTGCCATCTCCACTGGTATCTGGAAAGACGGAAAAGTTCCATTAGCTATGTTACACATCTGTTAAAAAATATTCATCATGTAGTTAGTCCCCATGAAAGTTATACGAAATGTGTGAATAATACCTAATGATCGAACACAGTGTTGTCATTTTCGCTTCCCATGATAATACCATTTTAACTTTGATGGGTATATAAAAACTGTTTAACATGTCCTATTATTGTTACATATTTATGGGGTATTTTCCACAATTTAGATTTCGACGAAATAGCAGTTTTTGCCTACAAAACGGATATTTTGTTTCCACTTTTCCTATGTGGAAAAGTTAGAGGTAAACATTACCCTCCACCATTCAGACGTAAAATGTCGTAATAAGTTTATATTTTTAGCAATCGATCAAAAAATTGGGCATAAGCCGCATCATTATTGCAAATTAATGTCTAGATAGAGAATACCCCATTCTGTTTCGAAAAATTTTATTCAATTGTCATTACGTTAAAAAATGGCAAATACAATGTGGGAGTCCATTTCTTGGCAGTTTTGTCAAATATTTCTAACAGAATACAGAAGATCTGCAATTTCATTCATTCATCCAAAAACAAAAAATTAAATTAAATTTATTGTTGTTAATGCTGTCTTAATTTTCAACTAGTTTTTGATTTTTATTTTGAAAGATACTCCCGGGGCAGCCGAAACATTAGTAAAGTAATTCAACATCTATGGTATATTTAATGCCCATGACGATATGGAAATGGATTGTTAATACCATGTAAAAGATTGGCATGAACAAATGAAATCGCATGATAACGTTTTCGACCAACTCGTAATTTCTTAGGCAGTTCTTGATAAAATATTAAATTTACCAAAAGTCAGTATGGATGACTGCAAAGTGCTTCCCGCTTCTGATTTGGATAAATGACTGAAATTGGAATCCTTCTTTATACTCATGTCTCAAATATGTTTCAATTCTCTGATACACTAGAAGTACTGCAGCTAATAGCAAGGAAAAAATAGAGACTTATAAACATATTCAAAAATAATGTAAAATACCCTCATCTTCGTCACTACTTAAAATGCTTTTACTAGTAGTAGGAGTAGGTTCGGCTGACATGCTTCTTTGGGACAATTAATATCTGAAAAAATATTAGCACGCTTTCATTTTACTTCAAGACTAAATGTTTCCCAAAGGTTTGAAAAGGAGGCATTTGTTTATCATAGTAGAATAAACGGTATTTTCCATGACTCCACGTTTATATTAGTGTGTCACTATTAAATGTATGAAACCATTGTTGCGTCGTTGTTGTTGATTTGGCTTTAGGATATGGCTACAAGGCTGCATAAGATTGTTGTATTGCTTTTTTTATAAATTTTCGCATATACCGTACAAAAAACCGATTCTTCCTCAAAGATACGTATTATACATATATTAAATGCTGACGCCTCTCAGCTACAGCCCAGCATCAAAATAGAAGAGTAGCATTACCTTTTTAACGATACGTATGAAAGAAAAAATGCGTAAGGTGTTATTCATAATCTCACGCAAGTTTTTAGTCCGTACGCCAAGCTATAAATTCTCAAGCGCTTAATCCTTAAATCGTATGAATAAGTGATATAAAATTGTTTCTTTTGCGAAGAATCTTTATCTTGAATGTCGCTCTCCATTTGGGAATTCACTATGGCGATTAAAAATGAAGGGCGGGGAGCCCCCGCGCAGTGACCCTACCCGTGAATAAATCTAAAAAAAAAACAGATCTTTGGATTCCCTATCGATACGACATGCATATCTTGATGGCGCCATTTTTTTAGTTACGCGATATCAAAGCTTGAGCGACGATATGTAAAAATTATTCAAGAAAAACCTATATCCAACAACGTCTCCCACAGTGTTTTTTTCGGAATCAAGAGGTGATTCGCAAATCGAGAGGATCAAATAGAATAATTTCAGAATAGTCCCAAAAGTCACCCATTGAATTATTGCCCCAACGTTTGGGAAACACCCTGTACATGACTAAACTAAGACAATACCATCATGCTGAGTTACAAGTAAAAAGTGTCAAAAATATGAAGTAGTATATATGTTTATGAGCTGATTTTGTCCGCCAAAAAGTATTTTTATCAAATTTGCTCACAGCTCGAAAAGGTTTTTGCTTATATCCATGTCCTAATGTCTGAATTTTTAATTAACTACCTTAATCACAGAACACAATGAGCCTCAATTTCCAATGATGCACTAACGGACATGCAGTAATAACAGGCCGAAAAAACGCAGAATCACCATTTTATTTATATTTGCGTCAAGCTGAACGTATAGGCAACCAGACTTACGCAACCCTCTTATTTCCACGTCATGGTCGATGCGATCACAAACTGATCAGGGTTGCCAGGTGTGTCGTGATTTTTCACCAAATCCGGTTTGTATCCATTACATATTTGCAAAAAAATTATATTTTCTTAAATTAATCAAAGAGATTCTAAAGTCACAAATATCAATGGTCAAACCACATGCGCACAGGGTCATGTCCCCCCTGGATCCGTGCTTGGCGTTAACAGTGGCGTACGATGCGTTTCATTACTCTTTTACCGTTTTGATACCCAACTATAACATGTAGCAAAAACGTTCATCAACTCATCCAAAATATAAGCATACACTAAATTCATATACGTTGGCGAAAAAAGTTTAAGCAAATGGAAATTTCTGGAAATGCTAAAATAACATATGGTACATAAAAATACTGCACCTTCGTGTGGAACAAGCTTAATGACATTCCTGCCATTTTTTGACATAGCTTGTTAACCCCATTTTCAGCATACATGAGAAAGAAAAAAATATGTTAAGCGAACTATATCTAAGCAATGAAAATATAAGTAATTATTAACAGCTAAAAATCAAGAATATCAAATATGCATACTGTTAAAATTTGACTCTACTATAATAAACAGAATGCTAATTTTAGAAGAAATAATTAAATCGAAAATAGAAGAGAGTATGAACAGAACTGGTACATACCTTAATTCTTAATACTAATTTTAACTCTTAAATACTGTAAAATATCATAGTCTATCTCATTACACTTGATTAACTACTTGGAAAACTTTCACATGAATTTTCCGTTAGTCTGGATCTACACTTGATGTATGTCAGAAGATGTCATTCATAAACCGCAGTCCTTTTATTTCCAAAAATTATTTTGAGGAACATAGAATTTAGTGTATTAAAAACCACGAAAAGTTTTGTTTATCGAATGGTGCAATTTGTTCTACAAAGTTCCACATTAAAGTAAAACAAGTTACGAATCATATTCTTTGTTGGGAGTGTTCAACGTTGTACAAAAACGTGTAGTATTCGTTCACGATCATGATTAAAAAGTTTCTTCAAATAAGAGTATTTGCTCATGATGATGACTTTGATTCAGTGTTTGTTGAAACTGTTAGCATGTATGTATTTTGATGCTAAAACGTGTATTTTAAATCTCTTATAACATGGCAGAAACAGTCGGTATCTAAGGCCCGTATCGTCAGTCGTCTCTACAATTGTAGGGCACGTTTATGGCCTCCTTGATTGTCATACTCCTTTCTCGCCTTCAAAAATTTCTAGATTTCTAGATTACACTTGTCCCGAGTCAGCGTCAGCGCTCTCCTATTGTAAAGATATGTTTTCTTTTTAAATTGTAGGACATTTCAGGCTGATAAAACATGATATAACTCAAAAGCAAGCACAATTTGATGCAAATAGATGTTTGTGACATAACCTCAAAATAGAGCGCTGACACAAGAAGTAGAAAACTATGACAATCAAGGAGGCCATAAAGGCGCCCTACAATTGTAGGGAAGACTGACGATACGGGCCTAAAGTGCCGAGATTTCTCAAAACATCCAAATATCAATTTCTGCTGGTGGAACTTGAAGAAACCATCGTTGAAATTCTGATCGCTGTACATTCTGCTCAAAGCTTGAAATTGAACAAGTTTCATGTATGTAATCTCAGATTGCTCTGTGTTTTGATCTAGAAAAATGTATGTTTTCGGACACCTCAACTATAATATTACTTTGTTGACCAAAAAGGTTTCTGAACTAGTGAAGATTCACTTTATTTTCAGGCGTTATAGCTTCATTTTTAGGATTTGTTCCAGTTCCCTCGCACTTATGTTATTTTCAATTTTAATATGTCGCGACAGAAACATTAATCTATGTCATTACCAGTGGCGTATTTGCAAACATATTTTCACATCGAAAATGATACGCCACTGACATTTCTTCATGTGAATATTGGATTGGTTAGTCGGATATTCTTTACTCCGCTCTTTCATTAGCAAACATTGTATTTTAATAGCAGACAGAGATTCTACACATTCATTTTTTCAAGCATGATTCACTGTATCGGTTGTCTCTGTGGCCTGCTGAAAATATCTGAACTTTGTGCATTGAGAGAAAGCTCATTTAAATCTTGTATATTTCTCGCCGAAGGGCGTGCGATTTGTGTTTACCCCGGTGGATCTTGGATATAAAACATAGTAGTACTTGGAAATACAACTACAATATCGACAGTCTATATTAGAAGTATTTACAAAAAAGAAACAACGGCCCTCTATCACCCAATGTATTTGTGTGTGTGTGTGTGTTTGTGTGTATGCACAAGAGCGAGTAGTAGTTATGAAAAAGGGTCACATTCTAAGGGATGGGCATGCCCGAACGTCACAACTTTGGTGCGAAAGTGAAAACACATAATACACGTATAGGCAAAGTATTGATATTTCGTCAAAATAATTGTTTTGGAAAATTGCATATTCTACATGATAATCGTCTCTTGCGCTTTTTTTGTTCTCAAGGAAACAGCACATTGTCCTCATCCTGTAGAAAAAAGTATTGTTACGGACACATGTTGATAAGATCTTTTTTAACGACTTGAAGAATCAAGTCTTAAAATACTCACATATTCTCAGTTGTTTTTCTAATCCACTCCTAGATAAAAGTTTGGACTATCAATAAATTGGTCTTGCTAATATTTGTGGCGGGGATAAATA